TCGGTCATTAGATGAGGGTTGCAGCAATCTTGGGAAGGGAGTGGAGGTACTTGAAGTCCCATCATCCATGGTCTGTCCTCCTCGAAAGTGCACCAGGATGTAGAGTGGGTCATGGGGACTCTGTGTGCCAAGTTTGGTCTTGATCAGTCATTGGCGAGGGTCTCAGTGGTCTCAGGAAGTGAGTGAAGTGACTGCAAGTCCCATCATCCATTGTCAAATTCTTCCAATCCGCACCAGGATGTAGAGTGGGTCATGTGGGCTCTCTGTGTAAATTGTGGTCCTGATCCATCATTGTTGGCAGTTGTAATGGTCTTAGGAAGGGAGTGCAGGTATTGCAAGTTCCATCGTCCATGGTGCATCCTCCTCCAAACTGCACCAGGATGTAGAGTGCGTCATGGAGACTCAGTGTGCCAAGTTTGGTCTTTATCGGTAATTGGATGAGGGTTGCAGTGGTCTCAGGAATTGAGCAAAGGTACTGCAAGTCCCATAATCCATGGTCCATCCCCGGCCAAACCACACCAGGACGTAAAGTGGGTCATGAGAGGTCTATGTGCCAAGTTTGGTCCTGATCAGTCATTGGATGAGGTTAACAGCGGTCTCAGAATGTGGAGTGATGGTACTGCAAGTCCCATCATCCATGGTTGCAGTAGGATGTCGAGTCGGTCTTGCAGGCTCTGTGTGCCAAGTGTGGTCTGTATTGGTAATTCTCTGACTCAGCCCCCTCTGGCCCTTTCCTTTCCTCTCTTTGTCATCTCGGAATCTTGGAATTGAGACCATATGCAAATTTCCTTCTCTTGTCCCCGTTTCTTCCATGAACTCTTTTCTCCTCCAGGGGCTCCTATTGAAGCTGGCCAATCAGAGACCATATGCAAATAGCACCACTGCGGCAGCCAATCAGAATGTTGGAACTTTCAGCCTGGCCAATCAAAACGCTGGCACATATTCCTCCCGTCGCACCGCCACACTTTTGTCCGCCGCATACAAACTTTCACCTTTATTATATACATAGATATAGATAAGTTGTTATTTTTGTTGGTTAGCCATAATCCTAGATATTTTACTTTCGAAGTTACCTTACAAGCTGATAAATTCTCCAATTTGTCAATGTTGCTTTTTTACACATATTTGGTTAAGAACACAGACTTCTCTTTATTTATTTTAAATCCTGCCACTTTTTCATACTTAGTGATAGTTTCCATCAGGCTTTGAATGCTTTTTAATGGACAAGAGGGATCCTCTCACCTCTGCAGGAGTCTACCGTATACCATGCAGTTGAGGACAAGTCTACATAGGGACCACCAAACGCAGCGCCCAAACACGAATCAAGGAACATGAAAGGCACTGCAGACTACTTCAACCAGAGAAGTCAGCCATAGCAGAGCACCTGGTGAACCAGCCTGGACACAGCATATTATTTGAGAACACAGAAATGCTGGACCACTCCAACAACCACCATGTCAGACTACACAGAGAAGCCATTGAAATCCACAAGCATGTGGACAATTTCAACAGAAAGGAGAGACCATGAAAATGAACAAAATCTGGCTACCAGTATTAAAAAACTCTAAAAATACAACAGCAAAACAGCAGAGAGGAAACAACCAGGCACATCTTAACACCTCTCAACAAAAGATTTTCCCAGGCTCAGCCAGGCCTTCAAATGCTAATGAAGGTGGTCAGTTGAAACATTCACACCTAGCTCTAGCAGAGAAGAGCTCTTTGCCCCACCCCAGTCATTCCACAGATATATAAACCCATTGTCCTATTTCCAACAGACCTCACTACCTCTGAGGATGCTCGCCATAGATGCAGGCGAAACGTCAGGAGAAATGCCTCTAGAACATGGCCCTATAGCCCGAAAAAACCTACAAGAACCTAGTGATTCCAGCCATGAAAGCCTTCGACAATACTTTTTATGGATTTTCTATAATGCATATCATATCAACAGCGTATGCTTTGGCTTTGAAAACTTGTCCTTCTATTTTCACGCCTTTAATATAGATGTCTTGCCTAATCCTAATATTTAATATTTCTAACATAAATATAAAAAACAACGGTGACAGAGGGCACCCTTGTCTTGTTTCTTTTTGGGTCTCTATATAATTTGACATCTGGCCATTTATCCTTAATTTGGCTATTCACAGTAGTGTAAATATCAATAACCACTCTTTTAAATTGCTGACTCACCCCATAATGAGCCAATACTTTTTTCTATAAACTCCCAATGGATGTTATCAAAGGCTTTCTCCACATCTAGAAATAAAAACACCACTTTTCTGTTAGGATCTTGTTTGGCCCCTCTAGTATATTTAGGACTATTCTCAAATTTTGGTTTAATTGCCTGTTTGGGAGGAAGCCTGCTTGGTCTTCATGTAAAATCTTAGCTAGAATTAATTTTAATATATTTGCTAATTGACAGATTCTTGAGCTATAGTTAAAAAAAAGTAACTTTCCCAAACTCTGGTAATAACCCTGCTAAAGAACGTATCTTTTCATCTTTTGGTCCTAAGACTGTCTGAACTAATTCATTATTTTCTTTAAATATAGCTATGGAATAGCATTTGGTCTTAATTTAGAATTTCTTCCATACTACTATTTATACAGTTTCTAGGTTTGTTTGTTTTTATTGGGGGAGACGGGACATTTTAATAATCATAATAGTAATAATTACTCTGATTTTTTCCTTCAGTTCTTTCAATTGCTGCTTCTTCTCCATTTTCCTATTTTGTTTCTCATGCCATTTTTGCACCCTTATGGGAAGAAGTCGGTCAATAACATCATCTTCATCAGCTTCAAGAAAGACTGCAACATCAGGACAAAGCATTCGCTCTGCTAAGTATTGGGTCTCATCTCCAGTTCGGGGGAAACCATCCAGTATAAACCCTGTAGATCTAAATTAAAACAATATTTGAAAAAATATAAAATAATTCTCAAAATTCTATGACCCCTTCATCTCAGAAAATGGCAACAATGTCATTCCTCTACCAACAAGAAAAAAGTAGGCACAGCTGGGCGGGGGGGGGGGGAATTAGTTATAGTTGGATTTAGCAAGGCCTCCGGTCAGATAACACAATAGTTAACATAACAAATGTATTGCTAAGTTGATTATTTGGGGGGGGGAATCCAATTTGTTACAAGTAATTTATCATTACTTTAAAGCTTCTAATATTGAGGATGGATTTTTAAAATAAATTACTACTGTGAATTAGAATTCAAAGGTATAGTTATTAGGTTGGAATATCAGTATACAAAGGAATGATGTAGCACCTTAGAGACTAACTGCAAGCATCTAATTGGTAGCATACGCTTTCATGGACTGTCTATTTCCTCAGATGCATGGAGTGAAGTGTCTAGGAATAGATCTTTATAGGCACACTGTGTATATGAATAGAAATGAAAACCAATGGATATGGTGATGGCATGACAAGCAGAGTTCTAACTATAGTTCTTGGGGGCAAAGGCAGGAGAAAGCAACACAATTACATTCAGTGCTGTATATGTTTGTAATCCGCCCTAAGTCCCCTCAGGGAGATAGAGTGGAATATAAATAAAGTATATTATTATTATTTTATTTTAACAGTGTAATTTAGATGGCAAGAGTAATTTTGTTGCATTCTCATTAAATCATAGAAATTGCAAATACTTATCAATCTATTGAAAATTATCCAGAGATCTAGCAGCAAAACATGATCGGGCTTCTGCCAACTTCTTTACATTGCATGCAGAGAAAACTATGTAAAAACATTGAGGGCACTTGAGGCTGTACTTCATAATCCCAGATAAAGATGAGAATGAGGTTACTGTCAAAGCAGGAAAGTGAACAGTTGGGCAAGGTAACATTTGAAAATGCATTTAGTTATTAGCCATATTTTAGTCACTTAATTATAAAATTAGGAAGGAAAACTGAGGTGGAACAAGTGCCGCATATGACACAATGGATTTGAGACCCTGATGCCTTCTTAGGCATACCCACTCAGTTACATTCAATTGAGTCTCAGGGAACTAGCTCCCATAAGTGTTTATAAACGTACTGTCTAAGAGCTATATGAGCTACAAGAAAATGAATGAGATCACAGTAGTTACCGAAATGGCTCTTTCATCCACCATTCAAGAACAATGTTGTCAAGAACCTCCATTGGCATGGGCTCACTCTCAATTATGTTTGCCTTGATTGCTTCTTCCTCATCCGTTAACTGCATTTCTTTTAGCTAAAAATGATCCCAAATCCAAATCAGATCTCAGTTTTGTTTTGCAAATAATAGTGTTTAGGACTAAAGGGTTACACACAATTCATTTTCTTTACTTAGTGGCTTTTTCTAACAATAAAATAATTGGATTTATTTTAACTCTTGTTCTGTAAGAATGATATACAGTGGAGCCCTTGGTATCCTCTCAGATTGGTTCCAGGATCCTACCATGGATACCAACATCCTTGTTATATACAATGGCATGAGGGGAGGCAAGAAAGAGAAAGAAGGGAAGAGAAATTAAGGGAATAAAGGAGGGAGGGAAGGGGGGAGAGAAAGAAAAAAAGAAAAAAGAAAGGGGGAAGGTATATGAGGGAAACAAAGGAAGGAAGGAAAGAGCCACAAAGAGAGTTTTCCCGCCATTGCAAGAACATTGCCATGGAGACATTGTGAGGTAGGCCTTCTCAGAGCTGGAAAAGGGAGAAAGCAGGCAGGCAGTGGCCCCTCTGACACCCAGGCAATGTGGGGTATTTACTCTAATATATCTATATCTGTAAATAATGTACCTTTGTCTAAGATCCCTCTTGCCAACTGAAAACTACACACACCCATAGAAAAGTGACTCAAGGTACAAAAAACTCTGTAACATTGTTGATATACTGTATGTCATATGCAGGGCGTATATGAAAAACAAGATTAGATTCACAGCAAGCAAATATAAGGAAAAACATGCCTATCTCAAGTATCTAAAGCCAGAACAAAATAAGCCAAGGCCTGATCAGAAAAGTACAGAGAAACTATAGAACAGCTTCTGTACTTAAGAACAGTTAAAAGAACAAATGTGACTTCAGGTATGGGTATCTTTGCAGAAATACCAGATCAACCAGCAAAGGCTGTCAAAAGAATGCCACGCTCACGCTGTCTTATAGCTATTGATAAAAGTTGCTGCTTTGTTTCTGTAACCAGGAACCACTACATTATGTAAACTGGCCATTTAATATCTTTCCTTTTTTTTGGAAACTATTAAGGTATGGTGTTACCTCTTGGATTCGTTTACTGTCTTCTTCACTCTCAACTTCAGTTGCGCTCCCAGGACCTGCTGGAGCAGACCCTACTGTTTCCTGCATTGTAGGTGAGATCTCTTCCTCATCTTCATCTTCGTCTTCATCTTCTGGTCCAACTCTGTGTCCTATTTTGAGCATGATCAATTCCTGTAACCGTTCTTCAAATTGAATGTGAAAAATGCCTAGCTTGTCTGCTAACCAACGAGCACAGACCGTTTTTCCCGATCCATGTGACCCTAAAAGTAATATCCGTATAGGGGGAGCCTAAAATAAACAAAACATTGCAGAATAATAATTAAGGTTATAAGAGTGAAGGATTCTACTAAATAATGTTACATGAGAACACTAAATAAAAAAGAATGAGATATCTCAGTGGAAAAAAAATCAGAAGTCTGAAAATTATACTGTAAGATTGCACTAAGTATTGATAGTAAAAGTATTGATAGCAAAAAATATATACATCAGGAATTAGAAAGAGAAAATGTAATAAAGGTATTTTTAAAAATACTCTATTAAAAACTCTTCTTTATTCAATGCATCCCCACACAGATACCTTAGTAAATAAAGTGTAAATAAGAAAATATCAGTTTAAGAAATACATATCCTGATTCGTTTCTTAGACTGATATATTTTCTTATTTATACTTTATTTACTAAGGCATCCGTGTGGGAGTGTTTGGAGTACAGTTTTTATTATTCTCACCACCCCAATCACTGGTCATGATGGGGATCAGATTCTGAAAACATCTAGAATGCTATAGGTTTCTCACTTCTGTTTTAACGGTATTCTTATTTCACAATTGAACTAATACAGGACTGGGATGTAGCCAGTCCTGAAAAACACTGATGCTATGCCCCATGCAACTGTCTTAGTTCAAAACCTAACATTTCAATGTTAACAATATATTTTAAAAGATGGTCTTCTTTATAAATATTATTCAATCTATTATGGCCCCCCAGTCTCTAAATAGACTGAGAGATTGGTCTCAAAACCAATGACTCATAGGAGAGGGAATACTGATCTTGATCCTGTGACTATTACATATACATAGTATGAAGTTCTCATTGGGCCAATTTGCTATAAATACTATGGATAAGCTGTTATGTACACACAGAGCCATGGAGCTCTCAATACTTTCTGACATGCATTCTATAATATAGACTATAGTGCTGTTTGTTTAAAAATAAGATCTTGCTGCTTTCACCATATATATCCATCATGAGCTATTCAGTTGCTACAAAATCATCGATAGCCCAAGACCTGCTGTGCCCAACAATGTATCCTCTTTGTTAGTATACACTTGGCTGTAGTCTATACACAACAATACAAATTCAGCCCAAATAACATTTGAACCACAGTCAGTATTAATTCCATATAATATTGTTGTTGTTGTTCATTCGTTCAGTCGTCTCCGACTCTTCGTGGCCTCATGGACCAGCCCACGCCAGAGCTCCCTGTCGGCCGTCACCACCCCCAGCTCCTTCAAGGTCAGTCCAGTCACTTCAAGGATGCCATCCATCCATCTTGCCCTTGGTCGGCCCTCTCCTTTTACCTTCCACTTTCCCCAGCATAATTGTCTTCTCTAGGCTTTGCTGTATTCTCATGATGTGGCCAAAGTACTTCAACTTTGTCTCTAGTATCCTTCCCTCCAATGAGCAGTCGGGCTTTATTTCCTGGAGGATGGACTGGTTGGATCTTCTCGCAGTCCAAGGCACTCTCAGAACCTTCCTCCAACACCACAGCTCAAAAGCATCTATCTTCCTTCGCTCAGCCTTCCCTAAGGTCCAGCTCTCACATCCGTAGGTGACTACAGGGAATACCATGTCTTTGACTATGCGGATCTTTGTTGCCAATGTGATGTCTCTACTCTTCACTATTTTATTGGACATTGCTCTCCTCCCAAGAAGTAAGCATCTTCTGATTTCCTGGCTGCAGTCTGCATCTGCAGTAATCTTTGCACCTAGAAATACAAAGTCTGTCACGGCCTCCACATTTTCTCCCTCTATTTTCCAGTTGTCAATCATTCTTGTTGCCATAATCTTGGTTTTTTTATGTTTAGCTGCAACCCAGCTTTTGCGCTTTCTTCTTTCACCTTGATTAGAAGGCTCCTCAGCTCCTCCTCGCTTTCGGCCATCAGAGTGGTGTCATCTGCATATCTGAGGTTGTTAATGTTTCTTCCAGCAATTTTCACCCCAGCTTTGCATTCACCCAGCCCCGCACATCGCATGATGTGTTCTGCATACAAGTTAAAAAGGTTGGGTGAGAGGATGCAGCCTTGCCGTACGCCTTTCCCAATCTTGAACCAGTCTGTTGTTCCGTAGTCAGTTCTTACTGTTGCTACTTGGTCCTTGTACAGATTCCTCAGGAGAGAGACAAGGTGGCTTGGTATGCCCATCCCACCAAGAACTTGCCACAATATAATATAGACATATGAAAATCATTTTAAAATGTTACATACTTTCAGTGGTTCATTGCAAGACACATATTCTTCAGGTTTTTCCAAAAACTTATCTCTGTTTTCTGGAGTTGCAAAATAATAGTACTTTTCTCGATATTTAGCTGCATTTTCAGGAAGTCCTGGATATAGGATAAAGTTTTCCTTCAGAACCACTGGACAAAAGTGCTTTGTATCACCCACATGTCTCTTTCTCATTGCCATTTTTTCTTCATCCTGACAAAAGCAAAATATTTCAGATAAGGCATTGAGTGTTACTATGATGAATCTATTTTTCCAGCCCATTAAACCTATTTTGGAGAACCCACATAATAAAAGGCTGAATATCCACTGTTGCATTTCAAGTGGCTTTTATTTATGATGTGATCAATATTGTCAGTTCTGATAATACTGATAACAGGCAAGCAGAGAGGAGGAGGTCATGGTGGAGAATGCCTCAAATGAGCCGGGCAAACACTTCCCTCTTCTTATGCTGGTCTGACTTGTCTGATTAGGCAGTCCAACTGTTGGCTCTCAGCAGACTGCAAACATACAGCAGCCAGTTATTCTGGCATTCCCTAGTGCATTTGACAAATTCTAATTCTAATAATAATAATAATTATATTACTCGACTCTCTCAAGGTGAGGTACAAAACTGTTAAAACGAGAGATAAAAATAGTTTGGATGAGTAGCCTGGTGAAGCACTAGAGCTCTCCAGCTGAGAATTCTAAATATCTAAACTACAAATCCAGTGGCTCTCCTCACCTATATGAAAAAAGCACACTGTACACCGTAGCAGAGAACTCTAGGTTGGAGTTTATGTTTTTAAAATTACAGCTATAAACAATGTCTCAATTTTAGAACACTGCTTACTTCTTCCTCTTCTTCATCCTCATCCTCCTCTTCATCCTCCTCCTCCTCTTCCTCCTCCTCTGCCAATGCATCTGCTTCAGCTTGTAAATCTTCTTGTTCTTCATCCTCATCTTCAGGACATAATTCCCAGCCTTGATACTTGAAAGGTCCTGTTGGGGATTTTCAAATTAAAACCTCTACTGCTTCCCTTCCCATTGCTTTTAAAAAGTAAATATCTATACAATCAAGACCAGAAATAAATTGTGACATTTTTTAAAAGGTGAGATATTATGTTGTCCTGAAATAAATTATTTACTCAAATTGCATATAGAACTTAAACTGTATGTGTGTGTGTACACACACACATACATACATGCACACACATTTGTGAGGGGAGTTACTTAATTTTGGTAGCATAGTGGCAAGAATTAATAAAGAGTGGTGGGCAACATGGGATTCTAGAAAGTCACAAATATGATTGGCGGTATGTGGCCACATTTTCCCCACCTTGATCTACTTTACTCCCAACCATCATTCTATCAAGGCTGAGGTATCACTCAATGTTTCTCCAGACTCAGACTTTTAATCCAGTAGGGTCTACTGTAGCAATGATAACTTAGTGGAGCAGGTAGAGAAGATGTCTAAGTCAACATACTGGCACTGATTAGAGCCTCAATTAAGCTAGCACTCTCCCCCCCCCCCTCTATATATATCTATCTCAAGAAGATTCTTCAGTTGCATGCATGCACGCACATTGATTTTAAGGAATTTGTTTACTTTTCCATTTCATTCCATTCTCCAGTTGGTGAGTGTGGAGCAATCACATAAAAATCTACTGATTTTGGTCTCAGGTAGAAAACAATATTTTTGCACTTATATTTAAAGCAAAATTTAATAATAACTTTATTAAAATAGTCTATCAAACATTTTCATTTTTACAGTTTACTACAGCCTGCATTTCTAGATCTTTAAAAATAGGTTCTACATTCAAAGTCTCCTGAGTCAGAAGGAATCTTAAAAAAGGGAATTGCTTACTTTCCATAGCTAAAGTGCTCTGTTCAAGTAGCATCTCTGGAGTTTGCCCTTCAATTTCTAATTCAACAGTCTGAACCAAGACTGTCTCTCCAGCTGCTGCCTCAATTTTGTGCCAATTTTGCACAAACTGAATGAGCTTCTTTTTAAGTGGATCCATTTCTGGCACATCTGGGAAACCATCTTCAGGATATTCAGGAAGTTTGACTCCTGTACAAATAAAATTTTATTTTAGAAAACTATTTAAATTGTATGCATTATATCAGTTCAGGCACTGTCAGAGCCTCAAGATTTGCTTTCCACAGTAACATTCCATACATTGCAACTGGGAGAGCCCTCAAAGCCACTAGGTATCTTACTACATGTGCACAACATCCAAGTTGTAGTGAAGACAACAGAAATCTCTTTATGTATCTACACACCTCTTTGAATATTCTAGAACACAGTTGAGCAGCTGTGGGGAATATTTTTCACCCTTCCCCACTTCTCAAGGTCACAGTGGGCACACTTCACGTGATCAGGATTGGTGTCACAATTTTTGGGCAATGGAATGGCTTTTCCAGGTATGAAGGGCTCCTGTGTTGTTTGGGGGTAGGGCATAATGCTGTGTTTTGCGGTGTTTTAAAAGCAACTTGAGAGAGGGTGAAAAATAACCCATTAAAAATTGGGGGTTCTGAAAAAATGGGAGTGGGGGGAGGTCCCAAAATGTTGCCCCAAAGGCTGTACATTCTCCACATTCTCCATGTTCTAAACATTGTAAGATATATTAGGGAGAAGGCAAGACCTGACTTCTAGTGAGCTAACAAGATAAAGGATAGAATTAATACAGTTTGACACCACTTTAACTACCATGACACAATGCTATTGAAACCTGAGAGATGCAATTTGGTGAGACCCCCAGCACTCTTTGGCATAGAAGACTAAAGACATTGTAAAACTACAGGATTCCATAGCATTGATCCACAGCTGTTAAAGTGGAGTCAAACTGCATTAATTCTACAGTGCAGATGCACCCAAAGTGGAGGGTCTTCCAGCCTCTCACTGAGATTGCTCTTTATATAAACTGTTACTGTATGCTTTTTGGCACAAGTGCTAGAAGTGTACTTAGAGAACTGGTGTGAGTGTCCACTAAGTCCTATGTCCAGTTTTACACAACTGGCATTGCTCTATGACAGAAAGGAAAGAATGGTATATTAAGACCATCCCTTTTCATGTCTTTTCATACCACCACCCTCTGTAGCCAAAGAATAATAATTGTGATAAGAAAAAAGAACTACAGAAAATTGGAGCCTGGAAATGAATTATCCTGGAGGAGGACACCATTAATTGCCTCAAACAGCTAAGAGGAGTACTCCATTGAGCAATGTTCTGGAACAGTCTCACTTGTAACAGCATGATTTCTACTCTTTCACAATAGCTGACTATTACTGGTGTTTTCTTCAAATGAATTGTTCTTTTAAATTTAATTATATGTGATGTGATTTTTTCCCTTCTATTTTAGAATTGCATTTTTCAGTAGCCAGGATTCTGTGGTATATTAATACTTTTGAGGGGAGGGAGAGAACAATGAAGCTCCAGTAACTTCATTAACATTGCATGTAGTTAGTTAATTACATAGCAGGCCAAGTGCAAACGTGGGCTTTTAGCATATAAAGAAAATTATTTTTATAATTATAATTTTAAAAGAACTATATGCTGTTTGATAGTTAAAAATAATAGAAGAACTGGTGAATGCAAGGAGTAAAGGGGAAAAAACATAAAGTTAACCTAGTTCAGATGCAATGCTTTTCGGTTTTAAAGTCAGTGACTCAGACTTTTCATCACTTTCAAGGTGTTCTATTGATTCTGTGAGAAGACAAAAACAATTATTCCTTTGACACACTTTATATGAAGAACATTTATTCCTCCTGTTGCTTTAAGCTACAACTCTAATAGTCCCCAACCATTGACCAGCCCCTGTGGGGCTGATGGCAGTTACAGGTCTAAAGCATCCCTACTCTTTATTCATAGGGGAATAAGATATCAAAATACAGGTATAACTCTGTTATACCTGGCCATTCCTTCTTTACCAGAAAATTTGGTACCAGAGGTAGAGGTAACATGAACAGAATAGAGATAGGTTCCTATACTTCAAAAAAGAAGAGCAGTTCAACATATTTCCCCTCAATTTTTATACCTTTTATCCTAGAAAATAAAATGAAGGTAACTATTAAAAACATTCAATTATGCATTAATACAATTGACCTGTATTCTAGGTATGTTGAATATGTGTTACAGAAATGTAAGTATTAGGTCAAGTGGGACACTTCTCTTTTCAAGGCACTGGCTACCTCCAACCAGTTTATTCCTGCTTGACTTGTGACTTATAGAATCACAAAATCATAGAATTGAAAGAGACCCCATGGGCCATGTAGTCAAACCTCTGCCATGCAGAAATAACACAATTAAAGTACCCCTGACAGATGGCCATCCAACCTCTGTTTAAAAGCCTCCAAGGAAGGCGCTTCCACCACTCACAGTCTGTCATGGGAGCATGGAGCTGCTGGGAATTCCAAATGTCTCCTTAAACTAAACTTTGACCAAGCCTCGGTGTATCTTAGCCTGGTGAGTCTTTTTTTTTTTTTTAGTTTGCTGCTTTGCTTTGTTCATCTAGCATAGGATAGTGTGACCTTGGAATTTGGAGGAGGCCCTGATTTTGAGGGGTGGACCAGATTCAAGTCCCTTCCTATCTCTGAACATGCAGTTGGCATGACTATTATCCCTTCTGACTACTCTCACCTTTGGATGTGTGTGAGGAGAAAAAACAAACAAAAACAAAGCCAGCTTTTCTTATGAGAGATTTCCAGTGATCACCAGGAAGGTTGCCTAAGAGAACCCTAAAGAACTTCCTGGGATTTTGATAAGTCAAGTGGTGACTTGAAGGCACATACACACAGGCACTATTCTGTCTAGATAGGAACCTAATCTTGTGTACATGACTGCTAGCTGATAGCACTCAGAAAGAAAGTTTTTCCTGACAGTACTTGTGACTATGCTCTTGACTGAAGTGGTTGTTGTGTGTTGTGATTTCAGATTTATGGCATTCCTGCCATGAGGTTTTCTTGGTAAGATTTATTCAGTGAGGGTTTGCCTTACTTCTGAGGCTGAGAGAGTGTGAGTTTCTAAAGGTCACTTGCTGGGTTTCCCTTAGCAAGTGGGGATTCATGTCAGAATCCAACACTCAGATTTATTTATTTATTTATTTATTTAAAACATTTACATTCCGCCCTTCTCACCCCGAAGGAGACGCGGAGCACAGCATATACACGGCAAACATTCAATGCCGGGACACAGATTCACATACAATACATAAACATTAAAAAAAAATCAAAATATTAAAATACACCATTTAAAACTGTCCTAGTCATCCACGTCAAATCATTGGCCTGGTCATCTTTCCTATTGCTGCTTTATTGCCCTGACTCAAAAGATCACTACAACGTGCTTGCTGCCTGACTAAGATTACTATATTTTAAAATAGCTCCGGATCAAAGCTGCAGTTTACAGGCACAATAACAAAAAATCTAGTTCACGATTATCTGTGAGGTGAAATACATTTCACGAGCATGTGAATAAAAACAATAGTTTATTATTTAAATGCAAAATCTCACCAGTTTCACCAGACTCCCCATGCTCTTTCAAATCCGTAGATATTTGTTCTTCAAGCTGATCTTCCAATGGTTCTGATTCTGGAATTAGAACTATACAAGTTTCAGGCACTGTACTGGGGTTCATTATTTAATTTTGATCACTCTCCACTCTGCAGTGAAACTAAAAATGTAAAACTAAAAATGTGAGAAAAGTTATAGGATCTTATAAGTGGAAGATGCCCTAAGGGAACTAGGTCCAATCCTCTGCTTAATGCAGGAGCTCCAGCCAGTGCATTCTCAGCATTCAGCTGTCCAGCTTCTTTTTTAAAGCAACCAAATAATGGGACTCCACTACCTCTCTAGGCAATTGGTTCAACTGCCCAACTACTCTCACTATTACGAGGTTCCTTCTAATATTCAATTGAAATCTACCTTCCTATAACTTAAAACTGTTAGATCTAGTTCTACCCACTGAGGCAGCCAAGAACAACATTGCACTTTCCTCTTTGTGGCAACCCTTGAAATGCCATACAGGAACACCCAATCAAAGTACTCCTAACAGATGTCCAGCCAGCCTATGAATAAACATTTCCAGAGAAGGAAACTCCAACACACTCTATGGCACCTTTGCAATGATGTGACACATTTGGAAGAATGGAAATAAGGGAACTGGGCTAGTTATGTGCATATAAATACTTTATATGGAATGCTGTTATTAATTATAATGTCAAGCTATACTAGCAAACTACATCAGGAGACAGTTGGCTTACAAAGTTTCACTTTTGCATAGATTTAGTTCAAAAATCTAATTTTGTTCTGATGCAGAAAAAAATTATACCACACAAATCTAACCCTTTTCTTCGGTTTTAGAGTGATCAGACTCAGTCACTTGTACTGTTTGATCTGGTTCACTCTCATCCTGGATTTTAGACTGCGACCCAGATGGTTGCTCTTGGAGATCTATGGATTCTGTAAAAAAAAAAAGACATGCTATTCAAGGTATCAGTCAGAAAACGATTTTGGATGTTCAGATTGCATATTATATAATACTGCAAGGAAGGGCTCTATGTATTCATGAGGAAATACAAAGTGAAGTCTATATTCAAGTTTGATGTAATTTCACAGAGGTTCATAACAGAAGAACACAGAATTATTTTGAGGTAAGACTACAAAAAAAGTCCTGGGTGTTGATATAAAGTTTCATAGAATCATAGAATCAATAGAATCAAAGAGTTGGAAGAGACCTCATGGGCCATCCAGTCCAACCCCCTGCCAAGAAGCAGGAATATTGCATTCAAATCACCCCTGACAGATGGCCATCCAGCCTCTGCTTAAAAGCTTCCAAAGAAGGAGCCTCCACCACACTCCGGGGCAGAGAGTTCCACTGCTGAACGGCTCTCACAGTCAGGAAGTTCTTCCTAATGTTCAGATGGAATCTCCTCTCTTGTAGTTTGAAGCCATTGTTCCGCGTCCTAGTCTCCAAGGAAGCAGAAAACAAGCTTGCTCCCTCCTCCCTGTGGCTTCCTCTCACATATTTATAAATGGCTATCATATCTCCTCTCAGCCTTCTCTTCTTCAGGCTAAACATGCCCAGTTCCCTAAGCCGCTCCTCATAGGGCTTGTTCTCCAGACCCTTGATCATTTTAGTCGCCCTCCTCTGGACACATTCCAGCTTGTCAATATCTCTCTTGAATTGTGGTGCCCAGAATTGGACACAATATTCCAGATGTGGTCTAACCAAAGCGAATAGAGCGGTAGCATTACTTCCTTAGATCTAGACACTATGCTCCTATTGATGCAGGCCAAAATCCCATTGGCTTTTTTTGCCGCCACATCACATTGTTGGCTCATGTTTAACTTGTTGTCCACGAGGACTCCAAGATCTTTTTCACACGTACTGCTCTCGAGCCAGGCGTCCCCCATTCTGTATCTTTGCATTTCATTTTTTCTGCCAAAGTGGAGTATCTTGCATTTGTCACTGTTGAACTTCATTTTGTTAGTTTTGGCCCATCTCTCTAATCTGTCAAGATAGTTTTGAATTCTGCTCCTGTCCTCTGGACTATTGGCTATCCCTCCCAAAAGTTGATCATAACAAACTACACAAATAAAATATACTCAGCTTACTGTGAATGGAACACTGTTGTTGTTTTGTATACAAAAGTATGTTGTCTATGTGAATGTATTCTGTTTCTTGAGGCATTATGGTGTGCTTTTTGTGACCCGTCCTGAGTTCCTTCGGGGAGATGGTGGTGGGGTCATCATCATCATCATCATCATTATTCATGATGCACAGCTTCCTATGGTGAGTATCCTGGGGCTTTTAGCTTTAAACCAGTTTTTCACCAGTTTAGGCAAAGCTGGGGGATACGCCAGAGTTTGCTGCAAACTTCAGAGTATCCTGCAACTTTGGGGCAGTTTGGACAGCTTGATCAGATCTTATTTGGCCTGATTCGCTATCCAGATGGGACACTGGTGCCATCATCCTTTCCCTGTGTTCAATATTACAAGGGAGAAGTATCATGTTGCTGGTGCTCATACAGAGCTCCTGGTCATTGGGGATGCCTCGGCTGACATCGGAATGGAGCACTTGCAGAAGGAGCTGATCCTAATTCCTTCTTTCTGATCACACAGGCACTGATGCAAATGACAGAAAAAATGGGGTGTCCTGTAATCAAGAAGGAGGAAGAGGGATCTCCTATCTTCTTCCTGTTTGTTGTGCAGGCACCATGAAACATGAAAGAGGTAAGGTAAACAACACCCCAGAGGAGTGGCTGCGCTCTTCGGCTGTGTAAGCAATGCTCCTGGATCGGACAGACATGCTGGATCTGGGGCTGATTGGAGCACATTTACACCAGTCTAAATTAATGTACTATAATGTATCAGACATGGTTAATACAATTTAAAATGTAAATAGTAGCTAGGGCCTTCTGTGTACAATTGGATAGGAAGTTTCATTTTTCCATCCCTGCTGCTATGGTCATAATTAAAACTATACCCCCCTTTAAACACACACACACACACACCTCTGCTCCTATGGTTATAACACTTCAGAGGATCTTCTGGAAAGTCCAATCTCATCATCAAAAACTATTGCTGGGGCCTGAAAATGACACTTAGTGGCAAAACTGAATTTGTTGTTTTGTAATGGATGAATATTTCTAACAATACAACAAAAATTCCAATCAATGTCCCTTAGACCTAGTGTGCCCAGGTTTAGAAAGGGAGAGTTGAAACATATTCATATTCTAGTTTATGATCCATAACACGAAAATACACATAAATTTGTGTAATGATATTCATTTGTGGAAGAAATGATGCTATGATTTCTCCTAGATAAAAAATTAATATTTTTTTGTTTTCTTTCAGTCCAAATCAAACCTTTCCACTTTTGCATTAATTTGCTAGACTGTCCACAAAATACCCTGATGAGTGACACGTGATGCAGGCATTTATAAGATCCATCTGAAGTCCTGCAGAAGTTTGAGATTCCTGGAGGATCTCTTTGCTTGTGAGGGCGCTTCAAACCATGCAAAACTTTTGACAACAGGCTAGAAACCATTGCAAAATAAGAGGAGTAACAGGAGTAATAGAGGGAATCTGCTATTCTCACACAGATGGATCCTCTCCCCGCAATAATATTGGTAAACAACGTGAGGACATAACTGCACATTAAATAATGTGGGGTCTTTTTTGAACAGCTGGTGTCTGCTCTTCCTCCGTACAACATAATTTGATTACAGGATGTCCTAAGTTACCCCAATGCGAAACAGGTTTTTTGACCCTAAATACATGCCTTTCCACATAAAACAAGATCCCTATTTAGACCTATTACCTGTAGCAATTAAGCACACATTTATGTTAAGAGAAAAATATGAATTGTGTGTGCATAATTATTTCCCCTAAAGGTTGTATCACATTGGGAGAAGACTTGAGATCAACGTGCCTCTGATGCATATAATATAAATGGCTAATTAATCAGGCATAGGTCAAGCTGACCAAAATGTTCCTTTGATCATTGCTTGATTATTAAAGTAAAATTTAGGCTTGAAAAAAAATTAACAGCTCAAAAAGCAGAATATCATCAAACAGATATTGGTCCATGGTTTTTCCTGGATGATTAATTCTTTGAAAGTGCATATTTACTTATTTAAGACTTTTATATCCCAATTTTCTCAACTCTATAGAGGGACTCAAACCAGCTCACAGCAAAGATTTAATGCTAATAATACAAACTAAAACATCATACAACAATATAAGATTAAAATACATATACAGTAAAATACATATAAGCCAAATTGCCAGAATATAATCAAATCCAACTCCGTTAGAATATGTGGTCGCTCACTTTGTCTGTAACCGGTTTCAGCTATTATTCTGGGAATGCTTTGTTCCATAGCCAGGATTTCACTAGCCTCCTGAAGGACAGGAGGAAGGGGGCAGACCTGATCTCACTCGGGGGAGAGTTCCATAGCCAAGGGGCCACCACAGAGAAGGCTCTATCTCTCATCCCCACAAGACGTGCTTGCGAAGGTGGCGGGACCGAGAGCAGGGCCTCTCCGGAATATTTTAATGCCCTTGATGGTTCATAGGGGAGAATACGTTCGGACAGGTAAACTGGGCCAGAACCATATAGGGTTTTATAGGTTAAAACCAGCACTTTGAATTCTGCTCGGAAGCTAATTGGTAGCCAGTGGAGCTGGTGCAGCAAGGGAGTTGTGCAATTCCTGTACCCAGCTCCTATCAGTAACCTGGCTGCCGAGCATTGGACTAGTTGCAGCTTCCGGGCAGTCATATAGAGAGTGTTGCAGTAGTCTATACGGGATGTAACCAGAGTGTGGACCACCATGACCAAGTCAGACAAAATAGAAGATTGTAAATAACACCACAAAGGGTAGATTTATCTAACAAACACATTGAAATAATTATTTTTTTAAAGTGCTAACAGCTTAGCAGTGGTTTATGGATAAAAATGAAGGATAAAAGATGAATAATCATGAGCTCACTGATTTCAATGGAGTCTGTTTCCAAGTTATTCCATATGGGATGGCAACTTACATCCACACAGAATCTACATATTCTGAAGCAAATGCATTTTTCTCCAGAGTACGTGTTTTGTTGAATCATCCAAATGTGTAAAATTAACAAAGAACGCCTGTGTCAGTGGGTGACATGAGAGAGCAAAACATCCTTTGCTTAAATAAGAATTTCTCTAGATGTTAAGAGGAATATATTATGAACGTCACTTTCCCTCCCACAGAGAATGAGAATTTTGCTGCTTTAAAAACATTTCTGAAGTTTTCCTATATCTTCTCTATATATTGTGTGTTTTAAAAAGTACGGATGAGGATTACTTTTGTCTACAATGATGTTATTATTATTTGAAACACAACAAGATTAATACATAGCAAACAAGATCACTATGCTGGCTTTTGTATTCAATCACACGTCAGACACTTCCTGCACAGCTCAATTAGACAGCATTAGCTTTGACACAACTCTTTACCTCTATCTTCAGCAAATTCTTCTGCTTGCAATCTCAACATTTCTTGTAGTTCTCTTCTGCAATTAGAAGATTGCAAAGCTTTTATAATATGATTGAAACAAAGTGATATCTTAATGAATAAACAATATAAATTACTCTTCAATAGATTACATAATTCATATCTTTATGTAAATCATTTTCCATCTTAAAGTTTATAGTTCATGGAAAACTGTTTTAGATTGCAATCCTATGCAAAACTGAGATGCAAATTCCATTGAGTTCAATGAAGCCCACTTTCCTGCAAAATAGGTTGCACTGAACTCAGTAACACTTATTTCTGTAGGCATGAATAAGATTGTGCTGTTAGTGTGTGTATGCATAATTCTTAGAGTAAATCAATGCTGTTTTTTGAACCACCACAATATATATTTTTCTGTGTAACTTGTATTAAAACAATGACACTGGACTTTTCAAATGTCTTACTTGGTTTCTTCCTCCTCTTGTTTCTTCTTTAAAGCTTCTTCTACTAGTCTTTTTATAATATTTGCATCAATTTCTTCTTTATTTGCTTGGTACAATCGAGTAAGTAATAGCCTTCCTGCAAAGAGATAGACGAGAACAGAATAAGATGCCACGTACATCTTAGGAATTATAGATCTTTAAATAAAACTTGACTGCGTAATATGGTTTAATTTTGTAATATCAAGGAAGGACCTGAAAATAGCAGCAAGTTCTGATAACAATGAATGCTTCTGAAGGGACTACTTTCTTTGGGAGGATGCTTTAATGCAGTAAACAGTATTCAAAAGCTAATAACATTTATTTTGAAAGTTGTTTTTAAATGTCATAAAAGCATGTGATCCTCCTCTTTTCCTGTTGCCTTCTACTTTACCAAGTACTATTTCGTTTTCTACTAGATCATGTCTTACCATGATATGGCCAAAATAAGTCTTGGGGTACTTCTACATTGGCTATTTAGGTCAGTGTAGAAGTGGATCAGGCCCATGTTGACTGAAGACCTAATGGAGCTGATCTGGGGAACCCATGGCAAGGGAGTTGCCTTCAGCCAGGACCAGCTGCAAGAGGCCAGTAGATCCACTAGAGCAGTGGTTCTCAACCTGTGGGTTCCCAGATGTTTTAGACTACAACTCCCAGAAATCCCATCTAGTTTACCAGCAGCTAGGATTTCTGGAAGTTGAAGTACAAAACATCTGGGGACCCACAGGTTGAGAACCACTGCTCTAGTGGAACTACTGCCCTCTTGCAGCTAGAGGATTGCCATGGAGACCAAAATCCCCAAGGTGTGGTCAGTACCTGAGGGACAGAGAAAAAACTGCATAATGTTTTATTATGGTAATTAAGTTTGCTTATTTAATAAACTGTGCTGATTGTAGAATACATTTTTAAAAACCCTTGGGACAAATCACTCCTAAAGCAAACACAGTACAATTGCTGCAAATATATAAGACAATTGAGTAACATGATTCACCACTTAGAAATGAGCAGGAAAGGCCCAGCTGCAACTACAAGAGACCATCAGAAGGTTGCTATAAAGACCTCTATCAGGAAGATATGATCATTCCCCGAGGGACAGAGAAAGTGCTGTTTTGTATTTCTGTATGGTGAGAGAACCACCCATACAATTGTAAAACTATTACTTTTACTAATAAATAATAAAATGCAAACCCAGGCAAAACCAGGTCCATAAACTAGTAAAAAATAAACATCATTTAATTTAGAACGATCCGTTCTTTAAAAGTACTAACCATTTTGTTCAGCATTTTTTAAACAAATCACAATATCAGGTAGAAGTCCGTTTTCTGACAAAGCTGCCCAATGCTCTGACAGGGGAGGAAAATTATCCATTACCCATCCTCCTTTAGCTGCAGATCCAGGATATCTGTCCTTATTTGTTTCAGAAAGCTGTAATATAACAACATAATTAATAACAGATTTAATGGTCTGAAATTCTGCAAGCAAGTGTGAGTGATCAATGAGTGATGAATTATTTCGCTTGCATTTTTGTGAGCCTTGGAATTCTTATAAAATATAACAGAGCCCACTCATAAAGCACACTATCCTATTAGGACGAAAAGAATGGTTTACATGACTGCCACAAGCTGAGCTTAGGTCTTTTCCACATTAGGTCTTTTTTCTGGAATTGCTAGCCTATGTTCACTCACTTTAAAAAAGAATCCAGACAAAATAGTTAGGAAATTCTCACTTTCCAGAGGTTTCTGTATTGTTCCCCACAGCATTCCACCCTTTCCCTAGACCTCTTTTGTGCCGTTTTGTGTGTATGAACAGACCAAGCAGGGTTTTGCTCCCCATAAAGCAGTGTGCTTCGGCAGTCAATTGAAGCTTTTTAAAGGTTCATGTGCTTTTAATAAAAGACCTCCTATTGCTTCCCCTTGATCCCAGCTGGAGACTTAAGCATGGATAGGCATTTTTGTTACCCTTTAAATTGACATCCTTAATTCCCACTATGTCATTTCTCTTCTCACTATAGTATAGAGATGAAAACTTCAACAATTAGATTTTGTCACTAGATTTTAAAAATCAATAATTACAGCCTTTCTCTGCATTACCCCTGCAGAACAGAAAGTGATATTGTGACAATTAGTACAATCCTGTGTATCTTTACTCAAAAGTGAAGCCCTATTGTGGCATTGCTAATCATATGTACAGTCAATGTAGAGGAAGAGAGCATGCTAGCTGTTTTATTGCTTTGTTCTCATGAAAGCCATTGAGTTTGCAGAGGAAAGACTATTCTATCCATGGAGGTTTTCTGCAAGAGGCAGAACTTTCATGTCCCCACATTATGGCTTGAATGAAAGGTTTTTAGGTTAAAATATTGCTTTTCACTGAGTCCAATATGAGAAAATTGGGCTTAGAGAATTTCTCTTCTCAAATGTTGATTAAAAATGACTAGGCATTGTTTTTGTCCAGTACATATCAGTGCCTAGGATTAATTCATTCAAAACTGAAACCACGAGGAAGCATTTAAATGTGTATTATCTCCAAATAGGGGGAAAAAAACTTTTTAAAGTAGAGAGCCTGTTCACGGTCTCTCAGACTGTTGGGGAGCTGGACTATAGTTTGAAAAAAACACGAATAAATTCCTATGTGCACCACATGTATCTAATTTGTAGTACAAAAAAAGAATAATACAATGTTTAAAATGAAGAACAATTTTAACTAACATAAGCTTACTAGTATTTCAATGGGAAATATGGCCGTGCTTTTGGCTGATGACATCATCAAGTTAAGAAGGATGGTGGTGGTTGTTGTGTGCCTTCAAGTTGTTTCAGATTTAGGGTGACCCTAAGCCAAAGTTTAGGGCGGAGGATGGGTAAATGACCTAGGAGCCCCACATTTGGCCTTAGTTTGGGGACCCCTGCTGTAAAATAAGAATAACAGTGCTATTGGGGCACAAAGCTCTTCCCCATGTCAGCATCATAATAAATGCTCCGAAAAACAGTCTGGAACTTGTTCTGGCTTTGTTATTTTTTAGAAGATTCTTTCACACTAGATACTTATAAATTTAGACAACTAAAATTCCCCTTTGGGTGCTATGGTTGAGTTTTATGGAAGCCAGGCTTTGTAGTTTGGCCAGGCACTACAGCAGTTATCTAGATGGGATTTCTAAATGCCCCTCCTTGAGACTGCAAATCCCAATGATTACACAGGATGCACCTATGTCAATTGAAGAGGAATCATAATGCTATAATTGTATAGTGTGAAAGTGTCCAGAGTCTCTTCAGTGTTGCTACACCTCCGGTATCTATCTACATGAATACTCTGACATTTCTAATAATATATAAAATTCTAAACACAAGCATGAAGACATGTAAAATATGGACACACTGAAGGGCTTAGTCCAATTTGTGCTGACTTATATTTATTTTAATTGATTTGTTTAATGCAACTTCTTAATGCCTCTCAAAGTTCCTTCCTGTTTCCCTGTCTAAAATGCCCTCCCACTTTAAGAAAAACTTCAAGGCATCTCATTTCCTTGATCAAGTTCACTCCCCACACAGCACTTGATCCTTAGACAGCCTTCTCCAGAATACATATGTGTGTGTAGGTGATGATTTTGCTTCTGCTCTAAAAAAACAAAAATGGGAATAGCACCATTATTGTTTCTTAAATGGTAAGCCGCCCCGAGTCTCCTAGGGGAGATGGGACGGGTTATTAATAAAGTTGTTACTACTACTACTACTACTACTACTACTACTACTATTATACTACAACCCTAGAGATTTTTAAAGAACTAAATTGCCGTAGTGCATAAACAGTAGATTCCTGTATATGGAAAAATCAATCCCTAAATACCCGTTTAAAGAGAGGATGTAGCCTTAAATAGAAAAACAAGTTAATGTGCCCCCTCATCCTCATGACCAGTTTGTCCCCTTTCCTGAGGAGGGCAGAAAACCACTCTCCTTCAACATCTGCTCTGCTACATATGGGGAAGCTGCAATAATGTATTAGTCAAATTGAGAAAGTGGAAGAATGTTTCTAACAACATCTCTTCTTTCCCTTTTCCACTCTTGCTGCTTCAATCAAAGTTGAAGCAGGAACTCAGTAATGAGTAGCAACTACTGAGTATATATAAGTGAAGGATTTTTACAATGGCAGAAATTCACTGTTTTAATGAAAAATGAGGGTTTTTTTTTTTTTTTGGAAGGGGTAAAAACATTTAACAAATGAATTCTGGAAGTATGGGCAGAATGAAAAGACAATGGAAACATTTCAAAAATGGGGGGGGGGGAGGTTGGGAGCTGGAAATGCCTACTTCTATCATCACAATTTATGTAAAAATAAAATGTATCAGTTTTTAAGAACAGTTAGGAAGAAAATATTTCATTATTCTGAAAAGGAGGGGGAAAGTTGAAACAAATGTGATATTGGAAAACATAATTTAACTTGACTTTAAAAGGAGGGAAGTAAAGCAATAACTACCACTACTTCCAGAGACATCTGGCCTTTTGGGAAGAATCTGAAGGCAGTTTTTTTTTAAAAAAAATTGCAACACACACACGGATTTCTGAGGGGCAGCTTTGAAAAATATAAGAACAAGTTGTTACTTCATTTGCAATTAAGCACCAGCTTTCTTCCATACCTGTCAATTAAACAATAATTTTATGTATAATAAATGGACATCAAAGAAGCTAAATTGTGGACTTGAGTGTTATATAAGCTATAACATATACTTTGAATTAGAAGGTCTATAACATAACAATGGGGGAAACAAAAGTTTAAAAGGTTTTGCAGGATGTTGTATATGAGTTGTGTCTCTAAAGTCCAACTTTTCAGCTCCCATTAATTCTGGCCAATTTAGAACTCTCAGTAAAAAATAATTCTAAGTTTGCGCTTTAGGACAAAACATTTTATACCTAATAGTATGCGAACATGTGATCTCATGTGGATGTAATAATCAACAATAATCTCAACAATAATAGTCTTTGGTGACTGTTTTGTCTATATCTATGTTACGCAATGAAAATTTCAAAAGAAAAAAATATATAAATGTAAATTATTAAAATGTTTCTTTATAACTATTTCATATGATACTGAGGCCTTTTTACCGCTGAAAGGGCTTCTTCCAATACTTCAGTATATGCTTCTGGTGGCAGCAATATTGGAGATATCATGGCAGCATCTATAGCTTGCTGTACAAACGCTTGAACCTCTGGATGTTCAGGAGGTATATCTGATTCTGTTTGATGAGTTGATGAATCTGTTAAGTATGTAGCAAACATGCAAAAGTGAATATGTACCTACCAAAGGATAAAATGGAATTAGTGTTTTTTGGCTTACGGAAGGCTTCCTAATAGATAATGCATAAAGAGTAATTCTGCTTTCTCCAATCCCTAACACATTTTCAAATTTATAACAGACTAGCTTGGGGACCCGGCGCTGCCCGGGTTTTTTGAGAAAGGAATTGTGTATCAAGGTTGGTCTTTATCAGTTATTTATATGACTCGCAGTTGTCTCAGGAAGTTAGTGAAGTTACTGTGAGTCCCATTATCTGTGGTCCATCCCCCTCCAAACTGCTCCAGGATGGAGAGTTGGTCATGGGGGTTTTGTGTGCCAAGTTTGGACTTGATCGGTCATTAGATGAGTGTTGCAGAGGTCTTGGGAAGTGAGTGGAGGTACTTGAAGTCCCATCATCCATAGTCTGTACTCCCCAAACCTCACCAGAATGTTGAGTTGGCCATGGGGGCTCATATGTTCCAAGTTTGGTCTTTATTGGTTTTTGAATGAGTGTCGCTATGGTTTCAGGAAGTGAGTGAACGTACTGCAAGTCCCATCATCCATCGTCCATCCTTCAAACAGCACCGGGATGTAGGGTGGGTCATGGGGGCTGTGTGTGCCAAGTTTGGTCTTGATCGGTCATTAGATGAGGGTTGCAGCAATCTTGGGAAGGGAGTGGAGGTACTTGAAGTCCCATCATCCATGGTCTGTCCTCCAAACTGCACCAGGATGTAGAGTGGGTCATTGGGGCTCCGTGTGCCAAGTTTGGTCTTAATTAGTCATTGGCGAGGGTCTCAGTGGTCTCAGAAAGTGAGTGAGGTTACTGCAAGTCCCATCATCCATCTCCATTTTTTTTCCAAATGACACCAGGACGTAAAGTGGGTCATGAGAGGTCTATGTGCCAAGTTTGGTCTTGATCAGTCATTGCATGAGGTTTGCAGAGGTCTCAGAATGTGAGTGAAGGTACTGGAAGTCACATCATCCATTGTCCGTCCTCCTCCAAAACTGCAGCAGGATGTAGAGTGGGTCATGGGGGCTCTGTGTGCCAAGTTTGGTCTTGATCGGACATTAGATGAGGGTTGCAGCAGTCTTGGGGAGTGGAGGTACTTGAAGTCCCATCATCCATGGTCTGTCCTCCTTGAAAGTGCACCAGGATGTAGAGTGGGTCATGGGGACTCTGTGTGCCAAATTTGGTCTTGATCAGTCAGTGGACTCAGGAAGTGAGTGAAGTGACTGCAAGTCCCATCATCCATTGACAAATTTTTCCTAACCACACCAGGATGTAGAGTGGGTCATGCGGACTCTCTGTGTAAATTGTGGTCCTGATCCATCATTGTTGGCAGTTGTAATGGTCTTAGGAAGGGAGTGCAGGTATTGCAAGTCCCATCGTCCATGGTGCATCCTCCTCCAAACCGCACCAGGATGTAGAGTGCATCATGGAGACTCAGTGTGCCAAGTTTGGTCTTTATCGGTAATTGGATGAGGGTTGCAGTGGTCTCAGGAATTGAGCAAAGGTACTGCAAGTCCCATAATCCATTGTCCATCCCCAGCCAAACCACACCAGGACGTAAAGTGGTTCATGAGAGGTCTATGTGCCAAGTTTGGTCCTGATCAGTCATTGAATGAGGTTAACAGCGGTCTCAGAATGTGAGTGATGGTACTGCAAGTCCCATCATCCATGGTTGCAGTAGGATGTCGAGTCGGTCTTGCAGGCTCTGTGTGCCAAGTGTGGTCTGTATTGGTAATTGTCTGACTCAGCCCCCTCTGGCCTTTTCCTTTCCTCTCTTTGTCATCTCGGAATCTTGGAATTGAGGCTGGCCAATCAGAGACCATATGCAAATTTCCTTCTCCTGTCCCCGTTTCTGTCATGAACTCTTTTCTCCACCAGGGGCTCCTCTTGAAGCTGGCCAATCAGAGACCATATGCAAATAGCTCCGCTGCCCAGCCAATCGGAATCTTGGAACTTTCAGGCTGGCCAATCAGAGACCACAGTGGCAGCCAATCAGAAAGCTAGCACATACACCGCCACACTTTTGCCCTCCGCATACAAACTTTCACCTTTATTATATACTAGCTTGGGGACCCGGCGCTGCCCGGGTTATTTGAGAAAGGAATTGTGTATCAAGGTTGGTCTTTATCAGTTATTTATATGGCTCGCAGTGGTCTCAGGAAGTTAGTGAAGGTACTGTGAGTCCCATCATCTGTGGTCCATCCTCCTCCAAACTGCTCCAGGATGGAGAGTGGGTCATGGGGGCTCTGTGTGCCAAGTTTGGTCTTGATCAGTCATTAGATGAGTGTTGCAGAGGTCTTGGGAAGTGAGTGGAGGTACTTGAAGTCCCATCATCCATAGTCTGTACTCCCCCAAACCTCACCAGAATGTTGAGTTGGCCATGGGGGCTCTATGTTCCAAGTTTGGTCTTTATTGGTTTTTGAATGAGTGTCGCTATGGTTTCAGGAAGTGAGTGAACGTACTGCAAGTCCCATCACCCATCGTCCATCCTTCAAACAGCACCGGGATGTAGGGTGGGTCATGGGGGCTGTGTGTGCCAAGTTTGGTCTTGATCGGTCATTAGATGAGGGTTGCAGCAATCTTGGGAAGGGAGTGGAGGTACTTGAAGTCCCATCATCCATGGTCTGTCCTCCAAACTGCACCAGGATGTAGAGTGGGTCTTTGGAGCTCCATGTGGCAAGTTTAGTCTTGATTAGTCATTGGCGAGGGTCTCAGTGGTCTCAGGAAGTGAGTGAAGTGACTGCAAGTCCCATCATCCATTGTCAAATTCTTCCAAACCGCACCAGGATGTAGAGTGGGTTATGCGGGCTCTCTGTGTAAATTGTGGTTCTGATCCATCATTGTTGGCAGTTATAATGGTCTTAGGAAGGGAGTGCAGGTATTGCAAGTCCCATCGTCCATGGTGCATCCTCCTTCAAACTGCACCTGGATGTAGAGTGCGTCATGGAGACTCAGTGTGCCAAGTTTGGTATTTTTTGGTAATTGGATGAGGGTTGCAGTGGTCTGAAGAATGAGCATTGGTACTGCAAGTCCCATAATCCACGGTCCATCCCAGCCAAACCACACCAGGACGTAAAGTGGGTCATGAGAGGTCTCTGTGCGAAGTTTGGTCCTGATCAGTCATTGGATAAGGTTAACAGCGGTCTCAGAATGTGAGTGGTGGTACTGCAAGTCCCATCATCCATGGTTCATAGTCCTCCAAACTGCAGTAGGATGTCGAGTGGGTGATGGGGGCTCTGTGTGCCTATTTCGATCTGTATTGGGAGTGTTCTGACCCAGGCCCCGGCCTTTCCTTTCCTCTCTTTCTCATCTCGGAATGTTGGATTTGAGGCTGGCCAATCAGAGACCATATGCAAATTTCCTTCTGTCATGCCCCGTTTCTGCCATGAGCCCTCTTCTCCACCAGGGGCTCCTATTGAAGGTGGCCAATCAGAGACCATATGCAAATAGCACCGCAGCGGCAGCCAATCAGAACGCTGCCACATACTCCTTCCTCTGTCCGATACAAACATTCTCTTTTATTATATATATAGATATAGATATAGATATAGATAGATGGTTGAAGGATCCTCAGAGCAGATCTGGGAGTGGAGATTGTAGGAACAAGCAAAGAACTGTTGTGTGAATTAAGCTCTGATGAAAGTTTGATGCAGCTCCATATGGTCATTTGGTCAAATGTGTCATAAAGTACGCTTTAGTATATTAATAAACTATATTATGAACATAGGACTAATATAAGTAAATGCATGCTGATACAGAAGAAAAGTTTTACAGCATTTATTATTGTGGTACTCTTGGCGATTTACTACCTTTTGATGTAACAATACATGATACCAAAGACCTGGGCATAAATATGAAGCAAAGGAAAGCACATTCTGAAAACAAGAGACAGCGAGAAGAAGTAGGAGGTGGTAGGTGAGGAGGAATGGAGGGAATGGAGAAAGTACACTCCTGACCTAGGGAAGGATTTAAAACTTCCAAAGATACCCAACATCTTGCCCAAGGTGACAGGCTTGTTGCTTCCCTTGGGTCCCCAAATACACAGTAAAAGATCAGAGATAGAACATGCTGATCAGTATTGTCTCTGAGAGCAGGTCAATCAGACTCTACCATAAAAACATAAAGATTATGTAGACTCTCACAAACTAAGCTCTTCTTTGGAAAGTTTCTTTAATGATGATGTAAAGCCTACCTCTGCAAACTGATCTTAAAAAACAAAGGATTTTATTTTATTACTAACTCAAGGTGGGATTATGTATATGTCATTCCACTTCCCAAAGTGTCTTCAATTCAAGATGAATTCAGGACCAGAAAAATGTATGCCTTTCAGCATTAGGATACCACAAGTGTCTTCCTGCATGGGTCTACCCATCTACATCATTTGAATTGAGACAAAAAGTATCCATGATAGAGCCTTCTCTGTTAAAGTGTTTTTCACTGAAACATGCTCTCCAAATGATGTGATTTATATTCACCTGGGCTTTTAGTCTTCATTAGCTTTAGTCTGATAGTTTTCCCTGGCTTTCATACAAGGAACCTTTGATGCACTTTCCCTTTTTACACACATGAGTTCCTTGATTGAGATTTGGTTTTGCAGTGGTTCTTAACCTGTGGGCCATGGACCACCCGTGGGCTGCGAGGACCAAAATTTGGTCTGTGAGCCTCCTTCCTCTTTATTTTGTTTTATTTTCTGCTCCTTTCATGCTGCCTGCCACTCCTTTCCTGTTGCTGACCATGGCATATGTTCTGTATCAAAAGCTAGAACTGATGTGGTCTATCCAATGCAATTTTCTGAATCAGCACCCCAAATAATCAAGCCAAATCTAAAGTTGACCAAAAACTGATTTGTAACAGTTTTGGTACTCATGTTGGAGAGTGATCCCTGGTCAAAGTGATCCCTGGTCAAGTTGTCCCTGGTCAAGTGGTCCCTGGGGAAAAAAAGTTTGGGAACTACTTGTTCAAAGGTAGTAATGTCTAGCTTCTACAAAAATATTGTATCAATATTGGAAACAAAAAAATCTACTTCTACTGGGATCACTTTCATTACAAACAATTACTATTTTTAATATGGTTATCAATAATACCTGTTTGAATTGCAGTCTGGGATGAGGACATCTCTTCGATTTCATCTTCTTCTTTTATGGTAGAACTTGCTACAAAAGTAGATGGAGAAAAATATGAAATTTTTGGGACATGGTGCTCATCTCCGTTTCTAAACCAAAGAACCGGTGTTGTCCGTATATGCCTCCAAGGCCATGCAGCCAGCATGACTGCATGGAGCACTGTTACCTTCCTGCGAATGGTACCTATTGATCTACTCACATTTGGATGTTTTCAAAGTGCTAGTTTGGCAGAAACTGAGGTTAACAGCAGGAGCTCACCCTGCTCCCTGCTCCCCAAATTCAAGCCACCAACCTTTCGGTCAGCAAGTCAGCAGCTCAGTGGTTTAATCCGCTGTGCCACCAGGGGCGCCCTGGAACACTAGGGTTCTGTAAAAGGTTGCTAAGTTTTCTGTGAGAGACAGTGATTGTCATTTCTGAACCAGCAATATTTTTATGCAAGGGCTTCCTGAAACCTGAAAAATATTTCAAAGCTAAAATTTGAAAAAAGGATGGTGTATATATGAATAAGCTCCCAATAAGAGGAAGAAACGAGGGCCTTGTAGGCACTTCACAATCTTTGTGAAATATTGTGAAAGAACTGCATTATTACATCACCTTTCTGGCTAGCAGACATTGAAATACTAGGCTGCACTGAAGTTCTTTCATCAGTAGGATTGCTTTCTTCATATTCATCTTGGTCCTTTTCAGCAGCTTCTTCAGCAGCTAGCAAAGCTGTAGAAGATAATTAAATAGTAAAAAATCATTTCAAGAAAAGGAACTCACATTTTCTTTTAGGAATGCTAAAACACTTTTGCAAATGCAAACAGAACATCAACTGGATGGAGGGGGGGGGGGGTTGAACAAAATTCAAACAAGATGTGAAGGATTTCAACACCAATTCCAAAACCAGGAAGGGAGCCTGTTGAGTGTGTGCGTGTGCGTGTGTGCAGGGGTGGGGTGGGGGTGGGGGCAGTACACCAAAAGAACCTGCAATCTCTCCCAACTATTCAGTTTCAGGTAAACACACCCACAGAAAGCTGTGAAATAAGACACCTAGTCAGGGGAATGAACTTTTGATACACTTTTAGATAAAAGTAGTAACATACTGATGTAGACAGATAGATGTAGTAATAGCCTCCATTTCATTTAGCTCATAAGAAGGCCTGAGGGATAACCTTGTAATCTACGAGTCCCCATTGGGGAGATGGTGGTGGGGTATAAATAAAGATTATTATTATTATTATTATTATTATTATTATTATTATTATTATTATTATTAAATGTTCTGTTTGTTTTGAGTGACATCATAACTCAAAATCAGTTGGACGAATTGCCGCCAAATTTGGCCACAAGACACAAAACCAAGAAGTGACCATCACTAAAAAAATCCTGATTTTGTCATTTGGGAGCTGTAGTTGCTGGGATTTATAGTTAACCTACAATCAAAGAGCATTCTGAACACCACCAACAATGGAATTGAACCAAACTTGGCACACAGGACTCCTATGACCAACATAAAACTCTAGAAAAGTTGAGTTTTGGAGTTGTAGTGCATGTGTTAATAGGTGTGTGTTAATCAATTGTTTTAATTATTGTTTTAATATTTTAATGTATTGTTCATTGTTTTGACACCGTATGGTGTTTGTGAGGTCGCCCTGAGTCCCCCCTCGGGGGTGAGAAGGGTGGCATATAGATATAGGAAATAAATAAAATAAATACATCCCGAAAGCACTATGGACTCCAACAATGAAAGATCTAGACAAAACTTGGCATGAATACTCCATATGCCCAAATATGAACACAGATGGAGTTTGGGGGAAATAGATCTTAACATTTGGGAGTTGTAGTTACTGGGATTTATAGTTCACCTACAATCAAAGAGCATTCTGAACTCCACCAACAATAGAATTGGGCCAAACTTTCCACACAGAACTCCCATGACCAACAGAAAATATTGTGTTTTCTAGTGGTCTTTGGTGACCCTTCTGACACCCCCTTGCAACCCCCCCCCCACCAGACATCCTGACCCCCAGGTTGAGAAATGCTGCCTTAAGGCCCTCCAGTCCAACTCCCTTCACCAGGGCAAGAAAACATAATCAAAGCCCTCCTGGCAAAGAGTCATCCAGCCATATATATAGATATATATATTTGAATCACACACACACATATATATGTATATGACAGATATAGTATCATAGATTTGAAAGGGACCCCTAAAGAAGGACAATTATATGTTGCATGTTCCAGAGTAGGCAAACCAGACAATCTCTACATGAACACTGTCAAAGAAACAAGAAATATTGTTTCCCCACAAGCATAAAGAAATTACATATATTAGAAACCAACTCTTCCCCATTACTTTATTTTCCAGATAACCAGACTGGGCTGCAGCAATATGTGGCATGGGATGGGGTAGTATGATATAAACAACTACATGTCTTCAAATTTATACAGAATCTCATCACCTTGTTCCTGTAATATCCGCTCTAGTTCCCGTTTTTCTTTCACTTTAGCAATGCCTGCCTCTGTTGCTTCAATACGAGTTTGCTCAATGAGTTCTATTCTTGCATTTTCATAGTGTGTTTGTAGAAGGACATCCATGTCAAGAACCTAAACAAAGCCACTGAAAATTAAACTATAGAAAATGGAAAGTGGCCGGGTATGTCTGTTCCTGTTATTCCCTCATCTCCATCTATCTCAAACAAACATGCTTCGGCAACTCTACTTTTCCATAATCCTTGGTCCAATTGGTACTTCTACTTCCAAATGTCACAGGAACATTTAGGACCCCATAAAGGAAAAACTGAACTCCGTCACTTTAACCCTAGGCCTGCTTTACGTCTTTCAGGCCCCTGCTGTAGAAAGGTTTCCAAAAGCAGGAAATGTTGACCATGAAACACACCTCCACCAAGTGAATTCATCTCTTCCCTTTGCTGAAATAGATTTCCCAACTCTGCATCTGATAGTAGTATTCTTCCAAATATCTTAGCCAAGATGAGAGGAGGACTCATAGTAAAAAAAAGGTCGCTTGATGAAATGGATTATTCCAATCTAGCTTCAGGCCTAGTTATGGAATGCAGATTATTTTAGTAATCTCAGTGTATGATCTACACCAGTGGTTCTCAACCTGGGGTCCCCAGATGTTTTTGGCCTTCAACTCCCAGAAATCCTAACAGCTGGTAAACTGGCTGGGATTTCTGGGAGTTGTAGGCTATAAACATCTGGGGACCCCAGGTTGAGAACCACTGATCTACACTGTGAATTGGACAGAGGAAGTATAATTCTGTGGGTTCTGCTGGATCTCACAACTGGTTCTATTGGACCAGTATATCCTTCTGGGTGACCACACTAGGGCCCCTTCTACACTGCCATATAAAACCAGATTATTTGCTTGGAACTGGATTATATGATGGTGTAGACCAGGGGTCCTCAAACTAAGGTCCGGGGGCCAGATGCGGCCCTCCAAGGTCATTTACCCGGCCCTCGCTCAGTGTCAACCAAAGTCTGAAACTACTTGAAAGCAAACAACAACCCTATCTCATCAGCCAAAAGTAGGCCCACGCTTTCCATTGAAATACTAATAAGTTTATATTTTTAAAATTCTTCTTCATTTTAATTATTACATTGTTTTTATGTGTCTTTTCCACTACAAATAAGATATGTACAGTGTGCATAGGAATTCATTCATTTTTTTTCAAATTATAATCCGGCCCTCCAACAGTTTGAGGGACTGTGACCTGGCCCTCTGTTTAAAATGTTTGAGGACCCCTGGTGTAGACTCATATAATCCAGCTCAAAGCAAATAATGTTGCTTATATGACAGTGTAGAAAGGGCTCCAGTGATTGTTCTCAGGTTGTAGAATTCTGTACTGGTCCACTGTATTTCCATTAGAAGACAAGAATCTTCTTATTTGGGCTGGGCTTTGGCTCTTAATGTGTTGTGGCTAAATGAGTTTTTAATGCGTTGTGTAGATGTTACTTTTTGTTTAGTTTAAAATTGATTTTGAACTGTTTGAACTGTGTTTTCTAGTAAAATAATTATATATACGGTGTGTATATATATATATAGAGAGAGAGAGAGAGAGAGAGGAGAGGCGCCCCTGGTAGCACAGTGGGTTAAACCGCTGAGCTGCTGAACTTGCTGACCAAAAGATTGGCAGTTCAAATTCATGGATGGGGTGAGCTCCCGTCATTAGCCCCAGCTCCTGCCAATGTAGCAATTTGAAAATAGGCAAATGTGAGTAGCTCAATAGGTACCACTTTGGGGGGATGCTCCTTGCAGTCATGCTGGCCACATGACCTTGGAGGTGTCTATGGATAACTCTGGCTCTTTGGCTTAGAAATGGAGATGAACACTGCCCCTCAGAGTCAGGCAAGACTAAACTTAATGTCAAGGGGAAACCTTTACTTTTACCTATACCTATGCCCATGTCTGCATTTTGGTTCAGTTTGTTTAAAGATGCCTTGAGTCCTGTGCTGGGAGAAAGGATACACACACATACACTAAATCAAATAAATAAATCAAATAAATAATCCAAAGGCACCAAATCGTATCTCATCTTGGTAGCTAAGCAAGGTTGGCTCTAGTTAACACTTGGCTGGAAGGCTGCTAAAAAACACCAAGTGCTGTAGGGCAACATTTAAGCAGAGAGAATGGGAAAAACTACCTTTGAGTATTTCTTGACTAAGAAAACCCTTTGAAGTTCATAGGTCCACCAAAAGTCAATGGGCAACTTGAAGGCATGTATACACTCACTCACACACAAACATCCATTACAGTTTAAACCAGCAACTTCATGAATTACATATAGAAACTAAATAGCAACAAATCCATTGACACCAAACTTGGAGGAATATGATCCTTTCTCACACATATCGTAATGATGGAAGTCCATTTCCATTTAGAAAACCATCATTTTAGCTGAAAACAAGATGCACAACTGCTGTTCAAATCAGAACCTTTGCAATTTAGGTATACAAATTAATTGACACTCACCTTTCCCTGATAATAGTTTGCAATCACATCACACAGAGTTGATTTGCCAGATAATGGCGGTCCAACTACTAGAACTTTACAAGGTGGGAGTGGCATAGGTGGCATTAGGTAGGGTCGGGGATTGAGCATAAACTTTTTCTGTGCTTCTTCAGTTGACAAAAGGTACATCTTACCTAAAAAGCTAAGAAGAAAACAATGGCACTGAACTGCAAGTTTAGAGTGGCAGGGCATATACTAATGCACTCAGGATTTTTGCCTACCTAATAGCAAAATCTGGTGATCCCATGACAATTTCGCCATCTTTTAAAGCCACAGGGCATGCCCGTCCCCATTTGCTGCGGCGCCATCTGTATCTTGGAGCTACAAGTTTATAGGCTGCAAGCACCCGAAAAAGTTCATCCTGATAATAAAATCAAACACTTAAAACACATATAAATTCTGCAACTTAAAAAACCCCCGATTGTTTTACCTTAGGACACTTCAAATCATTATTCTACCAATTTTTTGTAGCACTAACTGTTAAAAAGTAACTTTGTGTTATGAACAGCACGACATCACCATAATTGAAGTGACAGGACTTATTAAAGACTAAGGCCCCTGCCACACAGCTGAATAAAATCCCACATTTTCCGCTTTGAAAATGGGTTATCTGAGTCCACACTGCTCGGATATATGGCAGTGTGGATTCAGATAACCCTGTTCAAAGCAAATGTGGGATTTTCTGCCTTGATTTTCTGGGTTAGATGACTGTGTGGAATGGCCCATAGAAGAAAATTCTGGATTTAAAAAAAACAGCTTCCAGCTATGGGAATATTCACTTTAGAAAGTTGGCAAATAAATGCAATCAAATTCCAGAAGACAATATCAACTGTACTGAAACTATTCCCCTATCAGAGCCATACATTTGAATCTAAGGGCCCTTCCACACCCCCAGTTAACCCAGAATATCAAGGCAGATAATCCACGATATCTGCTTTGAACTGCAATATCTGGGTCCACATTGCCATATAATACAGTTCAGTGTGGATTTTATACAGCTGTGTGGAAGGGCCCTAAGTGCAAAAACTGCTTCGTTACCATGTTAACTCCAAGTCTCCTCTTATGAAATCAGATGCTATTACAACCAGTTGCATAAATATAAGGCTTACGTTCTCCATTCCATCCAACATTTCTTCCTCCTCACTTTGCAGCTTGGTGAGAAGTGCTCCATTTCGTTGCCCCATGGATTGAAGGCGGAGTATTACTGACTAAATAAAATAATACATATTTAAAAAATAAATTGTCACTGAAATATTCAGTTATTATCATGGGTATGTTGTGAAATAAATAGCCAGTTCAGGAACTTGCTTCAATGCCTTTCAAAAGCTACCAAGACTATTTATTAACTATGTAACCCAATCCAATAAAAATGTCAGCTGTATGGTGATGCTTTACAAATACCTGTCTTTCCACTTTTGAAAAGCTGCTTGAGCAGCTGTGGACGCTCCCACTACATACAGTACATTGAATCGAAATGTGCTCTTCAAACACTGGTGATTGTTACATGTCAAACAGCTTAATAGAAATGCTTCTGGTGCACAGGAACATGGCAGGTTCATCTTAAGTATCACAGCTGGTATTAATAGCCGTGAAAATATTTTAGTATACACTATGTGGTAAGACAATGGCTTAGAAAATTATTAAGACAAGATTTTTGGATACAACTATTTCTTGGACTACTATGCTTAACTAGTTCATTACATGTTTTATATGCCCAAAGCGTTACTGGAAGTGAATGAAATTGTTATTTTGATCAGCTTTTCTTTATGACACATAGAGAACAAGCAGCGATTTAAATAGAGTGGTGGCGTGGTGATTGTTGCATTAGGACAGTGGGAGACAATGGCCATGAAAACCTATTGAGTGATATTGGACAGGTCACACATTCTAAGCTTCAGAGGAAGGCAAGGGCAAACCCTCTCTGAAGTAATTAATCTGCCACAGAAGTCCCATGATAGATTCGTCCCAGGTTCACCATAAGTCCTAAATTACTTCAAGGTACACAACAACAAAAAGTTTTAAGCTGCAGTAAGGATAATCAGGGTTTTTTTTTTAGAGGTAATATGCAATAATTCCCATTCACTCACTGTATAAAGTTCTTCTGCAGTCTTATTTCCATCAAGTTCAAAAAGATATTGGGAATCCTGCTCAGCCATTAACTCCTGGATGTTTTAAAAGAAGAACCAAAGATCTTTGGTAACCGATTTTAAAAAGTCACATAAGATCACGTAACACTCCACCTCGTTTGCTGACGACATATTTGAAAGCAGTTTCATAGAATCACAGAGCGGGCAGAGTCCAGCCCTCTTCTATGCAGGAACACCCATCAAAGCACCTCTGCTTAAAAACCTCCAGAGAAGGGAACTCCACCATACTCTGAGGCATCATATTCCACTGTCAAACAGCTATAACCATCAGGGTGTTCCTAATGTTTCGATGGAATCTTTTTTCTGACAGTTTGAATCCATTGTTCTGCACCCTAGTCTCTGGAGCAGCAGAAAACAAGATTGCCCCCTCCTCAATATGACATCATTTCTAATATTTAAAAATGGCTCTCGCATATCCTCTCAACCTTCTTTTCTCCAAGATAAACATGCCCAGCTCCCTAACCCGTTCCTCACACAGCTTGCTTTGCAAACCTTAGCCAGTTTTTTGTACCTGGATTTTCACATATACTTCTGTAGATTCCTTTAAAAATTAACATCCAAAACACTGCACTATGCTTGTTGCTTTGCTTGACAAGAAATGCACAGGTTTGATAAGTATATTTAGCTTGGAGAAAGAAAGCTAAAAGGTGACATGACAGCCATGTTGAAATATTTGGAAGGACATCATACTGAAGATAGAGCACACTTGTTTCCTGCTGCCTCAGAGACTAGGACAATGAATTCAAACTACAGAAAAAGAATTTCCAACCAAAAATGAGGAAGACCTTCCTGACAGTAAGACAATGGAATATGCTTTTTGGTAGTGGAATATGCTGCCTCAGAAGGTGTTTCCTTATCTAGAAGTTTTTTAACATATGCTGGGTGGCCAGCTCTTCAGAGTTTCTTGATTGTGTATTTCTGTATGAAATGGGATAGGACTGGATGGTCCTTTTGATATCCTTCAACTGTATAACTTTATAGTTCTTTTAACTATAGATGTGACTGCATTCATGCAAAAGACTCATAGGTACTATTATGCTGATAAAACTTTGTTAATAATAGTACGTAACAGCTTAGAAATTGACAAGAGAAATGGGCTGCTGGGATAGCAGCAAGGAGCAATTGCAAAGACATATTTAAAAAGATGATCTAGACTTGTCCTTTTCCTTTTTCTAGAATTTGAGGTGTTTTGTTCTTACCTCCAGAGGATGTAGCATAATATCCTTATAGAGAGTAACTCTCTCTTGCACATTTTCCAAAAAATCTTCTGGTCTCTGCACTAAATATGGCAAAATTTCTGCCAACATGACTTTATCCATAATTGCCTAGGAGAGATTAAATTTTATATGGATTAAATGTTGTGACAACCTTAGATTACAGCATGATAGGTTCTAGTTCTTCCTCAGGCATTATAAAGAGTCACAGTTCTGAACAGTAGCAGAACTGCATAAGTTATTTTTCAAATGACTGATTTTTAAAAATAAAAACAACAATGAATATAATGATTCATATTGAAGGATGTGGCATTTTAATGCCGAAATCTATGGCAATATCCCAGCATGGTGCAGTACTTTTAGCACTGGTCTAAGACTCTAGCAAGCAGGGTTCAAATCCCCTTTAGGCTGTGAAAGCCTACTAGGTAACCTTGTCATATTCTCCCAGCCTTAGAAAGAGGCAGAAGCAACCTCCCCCACCCATAACAAATGCTGATAGTTCACCTTGGATCATCATCAGTCATAAATGACTTGAAGACAACAACCACAGAATGCTTCATACTGAAGGATGTGGCGTTTCAATACAAAAATCCATGCCAGAATCTCATAAAGTGAGTGATCAAGTTTTTAGATTTTAGGTACTGACAGCACTCCAAATTCCAAAAGAACTTGTCCTCTGTAAGAGAGAAGATGCGTGTGACACTTTGTTCTACTGTGTGTTGAATGGCTGGGGGTGCATTGGAATCACCCGAGCATAGCCTTCATTGTTTGAAGACAAAACAAGTAATGTTTCTTACAAAAGTAAAAAAAACAAAAGCTTGGAATGTCAATTGGAATGTCAATTATTTCTAAATATCAAAGCAGTGCTGTTTTTCCATTACTCTAAACCTAAAATACCCTGATCTCGAGGGCAATCTTTGGACACCAAACTGAGGGACTCATATACTGTTTAATAATACATCTTCCATCATTTTTCTCTTTATTTGAACTTGGGATAATAATATACAACATCGGCACCTATCACTGAGACTTTGCTTATATGCTCTGACATGAATCGCGATGGGTAGCCATCTCATAACTCTGGTTAACAGACCAGGGCCAAACTGGTTAAAGGGACAAAGGCCTGTCCCTTCTCCTTTAAGGCAAAAGCCCCAATTCCTACAGTGATGTAATGATTAGAGTGTGGTGACTAACTTTTCTTCAGTTACGTAATCATCAGTGTATGTGCACGGTTGTAAACAATGTCCTCAAATTACAGTCACTTGCCTTGTGCAAATTTTCAACAGAAATGTTCCAACAGATCTTAATTTTTTTTACAACGGTGGCATTTTTATGTCCTTGCCAGTGTAATGTACATACTAGAACCAAAAACAGCCTATGCTACTTTTCAGCATCTCATGACGGAATGAAGAAGTGACACAATGTAGTTGTTCATGGGTTGACCCCAAGTATCTTTACATGAACAGACTTTCTGCGTTAACTTTCTCCTGTAAAATTAATTACATTGCTCTTTTCCACTTTCTCTTTTTCACTTTCATGAGAGGATTGGAATAGTTATCTCAATTCTGCCTTTCTTTCTTTCTCAGAGGCATGCTGTGCTGTAGACGTGTAAGAACGTCTTTTCTCCCTATTGTATACCTAATTAATCTATAAATTTAAAGAACTGTTGTGGCAAGGGAACTGCCATGTCAAGTTAGCAGGGCAGGAAAGAAAAAACAGTTGCTGTCCTATTTTGCCCAATAATAGCTTTGAAACCAAGTTTAAGGTAAATAAGAAAGTTGTACTCCAGCAAAATCAAAGCAACAGGAGCAAGTCCACAAAAAGAAAGCAAAGTCTCTTGACACAGTCTTATGGAGTTTCCTCAATAAAGCAAATCCACTTACACAGGCAATACACTGAACTGGGAACAAATCAGGAACAAAGGCTAGGTTTATTTATTTCATATCAAAAGCACTGCATAAATTATTATAAAACTGATAAAAATAGAAGGAGCACACGCAGCTAAATATCTTTTGACCAAAAATGGGCAACAGCATTGTCTGTACCCTCCAACAATACTTCCTCTGTACATAAGGCAGGGCATAGTGGACAAGCATACAGATGCGGAGTTGTCTGCTTCACAGTCACACAAGGTGGAGGATTCTTTTAGGTGGTGCCATTTTGCCAGGTTATCTTTTGATCTGCCCACTCCACTTCTGAGTCTGACTTCCAATTCACCCTTTCTTGGTTTGCCCCTGGAGGCAGACCCTCATTGGGGGGGGGGGACAATCCAATTGGGATTTTGTGGTTTAGCTGCCCAGAGGGATGCTCTTGCTGTTGATGGGGAAACATTAAGAGGAGTGGTGGTTCTCATGAAGTTTTCCCTTGATTTGAGTCTACTGGGAGGAGGCTGGTAGCCATGCAGTGGATGGCTTTTACAGTGTTCAACCTTATTTCTCTCACAGTTAGCAGCAACTTCTCATCACACATCGGGGGAGGGGGGGCAATGCCAGCTAGTTTGTCAACAGGTGTAGGTTTAAGACATCCTGTGATTATTTTACATTTTTTGTTCAATGCTATGTCCACATGGTTTGTGTGGGCAGACTTGAGCCAATCAGGGCAGGCATACTCAGCAGTTGATGTTTATTCATCTTGGGTCTGCACCCCACGTGCTGCCAGTAAGTTGCTGTAGGATGCTATTGCATGCAGTACTTTGTGCTTGGCGTTCATACAGTGTTTCCTAAATGTTAGTGTTCGATCCAAGGTGACATCGAGATATTTAGGATGGAAGCAATGATCAAGCTCTTGACCTTCCCAAGTAACTTTCAATTTCCTGTTGGCTTCAAGGTTCCGTAGGTGGAAAGTACACACTTGTGTCTTGGCATGCTTAGGCAAAGACTAGGTGATGGATTGGTTGCTGGTTGCTGGCACCAGTGGGCTATTCCTCTGCTTCCCATTTATAGCCCCAGTACACAGCGCATGTATCTTTAGGGAGTGGTCTGATTGCTGCACATCTTTCAGCAATCCTTACTGACTTACATCTTGCTTGCTGCTCCCTTCGACGTTCCTAAAAACTAGGGATAGACAGAGTGCCTTCCTCCTCCTCTTCTTCCTCCAAACGAGAGCTGACCACCTGCCCAGAATCCCTAACCACTTCCTCTTCAGCCTTCTCTTCTTCCAACTCATCTTCAGAGGAAAAGGGAGACACAACAGCTGGGAAGGGAAAGTGTTCCAAGTGTATGAGAGGATTAAACTACAGTTAACAGATTGGTCCTCTCATGCCATCCTGAGAATAGAAATTTCTTCCAAGAAGGTGCATTAGAATTTTGGGGAGTAAGGAAACAAATACTTCACTACACACAGGAGTATATCAGGAGGTATGTTTGTTTTATCTGGTTTTTTTCCTTGTTAACTCAACCTTTTTTCTGGTTCTGATGAGTTAGGATAGAAGACATAAAACACTCCTTTGCTCATATAGTGTTTTATATTGTGTAACAAATTATCACAAATACCAGAAAACACCCATATACCACATTCCCACAGTGAACATTTCTAATTCTTGTGCATCTGAGTTAATAATGACTTCTTGGGAAACCACAGTAAGATACCTGATTTGTTTCCTCTTCCTCTCCTTCTTCCTCCTCCTCCTCCTCCTCTTCTTCCTCTTCCCCAGTTTTATGAGGTTCCTTCTTCTTTTTTCTACGTTTTTCAATAATTTCAGGATCCCACTCTTCTCTTTGGAATATTTGTCCTGTTTCAGGGTGTTGTCTTTGTCCAGATATTCTTTTGCACAAATCGTTATCAGGGCACTAGTTAAAAATAGGGGGGAAACCCATTGTTATACAGATAGGATTGACTAAAACAACCCCATAGTATAACTACCAGTATTAGTGTATATGTTTTGAGATAGTGTTTAATATCTAAAATAATCTAGTGTGTTTCTGTAGAACTAGAATGGCCCAAGATGATATGAGTGATGTCTGGAAATATTCACTGTGTGTCAGTGAAACAGATTCCACCAAAACATTAGGGAAAACTTATTGACAGTAAGAGCTGTTTGACTGTGGAATATGCTGTCCCTCAGTGTGGTAGAGTCTTCGTCTTTGGTGTGTGTGTTTGTAAACAGTGGCTAGATGGCCATTGTCAGAGGGTTGGACTGGATGGTCCTGGGGGTTTCTTCCAACTCTATATGATTCTGTGACTTTAAAAGAGCTACACAAGGTGTTTCATCCTATCACCAAAACAGCACCAGTAGTTTAGATGGCTCCTTTAAATTTGAGCTAAAGTTACTCTCCCACTGAAATGGAAGTCACAAGCTACCACCAGTTTCCAAACCAGAGGTAAAATCTACTTTAGTTGTGGTATCAGGCCTAGCTTTTGAAACAACTAAAATACTAAAATTAAATTCTGTAATTCTACCTGTTGATCACATTTGCAGAGTAAGTACAAAGGTGGCAAAGAAATAATCAGAAACTGATATTACCTTAATATTTATCAAGAAATCTGGTTTCAGTTTTAAATTTCTAATTATCTCTATCTGCTCGGGTATACTTAGGAAGTCCTCAGAAAGACTAGGGAAATCACATAGAACATAACCTGCAAAAACACACATACCAAAAAGTATTAACGACAATATCCAAAATAGGGACATTTCACAGTTGCTTTAAATATGAGAGTGAGCCACTTGTGGATGTTCAATAGGGAGGAAAAACATACAAGATAAAAAGTGGCTAGTTTCCATAACCCATGCCACAATGAAGTACAAACAATTTATAGTAGCAAGTATAACTGTTTCCTATTGAACATGGTTATACTCATATAACTTGGAATGTTGTGGCTATCATGAATTGAACAAAGACACAACAATGAGGCAACCCAAATATAGGGGATTTGGGTCCTGCCACAAGCAGATAGATCCTAGAGTCCTTCCCAGCATCATGAGCAAATGTTAACAGTGGCATGAAAGAGTTTTTTTTTCCTTCTTTCATGTAGAAGAGTTGCCCTCCTGTCTGGGGGCCTTTTATCCATCACTTAGATCAGTGGTGAGAATACAATGAAAGAGTACATTTATCACCCCTTGAGCTCTATTACCTGAGGTAACTGTCTCATGGAGTCCTAGGCTTGACTGCTTTACACAAACCATATTATTTACAAAGTCTGCAAATTCTGACCTAAGCATTAAAGTAGCCCCACATAATCACAAACAGCTCTGGATAGACTACATGTTATATAACATTGCAAGCTACACAAGCTGTCCTAAAGTGATAGAGAGAAAAATACTTCTATCTTTGCAGTTTTATTCTGTTGGTATACAGCTCTGTTAAAAACATTCTAGTTGGAGGAAATGGAAGGAGCAATTTTCCTTTCCTTTTCCTTCACCTCTCACTCCTTATTTTACTAATAGTTCTGGAAGTTTGGGAGATGGTTCTGGAAGGTCCTCCAATATTGTAACAAATTAGAAAATAGTGAAAGGAGTGGAAAATCAGCAGGTCACCTCCTTTCTCATTCAGGCAATGGAAAAACTGTTATTTATCAAAAGTCATATTGTCTTTCTCTCACTGGGAGACTTATTGGCAGATCCAATCGAATGACAGAGTCTTCTCTCACTAAAAATAGTAGGTATGTGATCAATGCTGTCTGGTAAGAAGGATTGTTCTAGAGACACCTAATATGAGAACAGCTACATTCAATCATGTAGTTACCTTGCTTCATATGACAAAAAATGGTTAAGTAGAACCAAGTTTGAGATTGCCTATGAGTGTTCATCGTGCGAGTACAAAAGAAAAAGATGGTACCATTTTTTCTTAATGGGAAAATATATCTTGCATGCAGCTAAGGTCTCAAATACACAATTTAAGAGAATTCATAGCTGGGATATATATAATTTTAAAAAGGATTTCAATGTTACTTGGCAATACAGTACAACATTTCCAGGATGATTTCTAATATTAAAGTCGGGTTTTTGTTGCTTAGTTATTAGCAATACATAACAATACAGAACATCAAAATGTATTCCTTACCATCAGGGCTATCAAGTATCTAATATACATATTACAGACCACTTATTTTGCCTCTATAGAAGAAAATTTATTTATAGGACTATGTGGAGCATATTCAATTCATAAGAAACATATACCAAAGTGCACAATCTCTGGAGATTCAAGTTTATTCAGCAGCATCTTTATAAGCAATTCTTCAGGAACACTTTGACCCTGATACAGCAATTCTTTACACTAAAGAAAAACAAATAAAACATTGTATTACCATATTTTATATAGGAAAATATGCATAGTTAACTTAAGAAGTTACCTTATACCGTATAAGTTCATCTAGCCAATATTGTCCAATTGATGTGGATGCACTCAAGCATCTCTGACAAACTTTGCATATGTATTTATTGTTTTTTAAAATATATATTCCTCTTTGTGTCTGGTGATCTCACTTGTCACAAAGATGCTTTTCACTGGCGATGGCAGGACCTGAAGCTGCAAGCAAAGCATCCACTCCAGCATTAAGCTATCTATTGTCTTTTTACCTACAACCCCAATTCAGACTGCCATTGTCTTGCAGTCAAACCACATAATAATTCAAAGTTGCAAGCATCATGTTGATCAGTGGTTCTTAACCTGTGGTTCCCCAGATGTTTTGGTCTTCAACTCCCAGAAATCCTAACAGCTGGTAAACTGGGTGGGATTACTGGGAGTTGTAGCCCAAAACAGCTGAAGGGGGGGGGGGCACAGCTTGAGAACCACTGATGTAGATGAACCAAACTTTCTCTAGAGAAAATCCTAGCTTTATGAAAGTTTCCAGACTTTCGCTGAAGAGAATAATAGCTTGGAGAGAATAACAGCTTTAAAGAATAAAATACAGATCAAAAGAAGGCCCCCAAACCCCAGTTGCAATGCACTGTTTACCTGGAGTCCGTATTCTGTTTCTGCTGTTATGTTTTCATCTATCAGTTCTAAAGCTTTTAAAAAAAACACCACATAAAAAAGTTTGCAACTGTCTCGTAAATGATTTATGCATGATATGTGCAACAAATTTATTAAATGGATCTTAATTAAGACTATTTTAAAGAGTTATTAACCAGCAATAATTTAACACATAATTGCTGTAAAAATCAATATATGTTTCTGGTCCACAACAACCCCTCAGTGTAATATAAAAATGTGTCTACATTTGCTAGTACCTATTTTCACAATATGGAGATAATGTGATCATGGCATAATGAATATCACCAGAAAAAATGGAAAGCAAGGGTTCTTGAGATTTAAGCTGTCTATCTAGCATAACATCTGACCATATTTTGAATACCCAAAATGTCCAGCCTACTGTTTTTAGGCAAGCCATTAATGTGTGTGGTGGCCTCCCAACTCGAGGAGTTTCTGGATGAGATAGATTATCTCTAGATTCATTTCAGACCTAACTATAGGACAGAGACAGCTTTGGTGAGTGACCTGTGCAGGGAATTGGACAGGAGGAATGTGTCCCTGTTGGTTCTGCTGGGCCTCTTACAGCTTTTGATACCATCATCCATGGTATTCTTTTGGACTGTCTCACTAGGATGGGACATGGAAGCACTATTTCTTCATGATAAGATTAATCTGAAAGGAGGTGGTGGGGAATTTCTGTTTGACCCCCCAGTTTTTGGCCTTCTCTCACATGCTTATTTTGTCCCCCACGTCTTTTCACATAAACATGAAAACACTGGGAGGGTTCATCTGGAGTTTTGGGGTGCAGTACCATCACTATGCAGATGACACCCACCTCTACTATGCCTTTCCATTCCAATTCAAGGAAATTGTCTGGTCCTAAACCAGTATCTGGCAACAGTAATGAACTGGATAAGGTTAAACAAACCGAAACTCAATCCAGAAAAGACATGGTTGCTCTTGGTCAGTCAAAAGGGACATCATGTGTTAGATGAGGTTACATTCCCCCCAAAGACACAGACTTGCAATGTACCTCTGTACTCAGCGCTGAACCTAGAGACACAAGTTTCTGCAGTGGCCAGGGTTGCTTTTGTACATTTAAAGCTTGCATGCTGTATCCATTCCTTGAGATGTCAGATCTTTAGGTGTCATACTTTGGTTATATGACGAGAAGACATGACTCACTAGTAAAGACCAGAATGCTTGGCAAGATAGAGGGCAGTAGGAAAAGAGGACAACCGCATTAATGATAGACGGATTCAATCAAGGAAACCACATCTCTAAGCCTGTAAAATCTGATGATGCTAAGGTGAATTGGAGTTCTCTCAATCATAGTCACCACAAGTCAGAGTTGACTTGACAGCAACAATGAACAAGTAGACTAAGCATTTGGGTCCTGATATCTTCTTCCTCAACTTGTTCTTCATCTTCATTTTAAAAAAATATGTGAAATGAACTGATCCACATTTGCACTGAAATTATCTCTTAAAACACACACACACTGCTGCTTTACCAGAAAGCCAATACACCAGAAAGCCAATACTACTTAAGAGTGCCCCAACTTAAGAGCATGCTGAGTTTGAGTGATTGTCAGAGAGAATGCTTTAGGACTTTGTGCCTCATGCTCTTGTCTGCTTTGGGAGACTGCTGTCCACTTTGCTCCTGACTGCTTTAAGGAACTTTGGGTTAGTTGATTTTGTGTGGTTTTTATTCCTGGTATGTTTGGTTTCATGAAGAGAGAGAAAGAGGGAGGGAGGGAGGGAGAGAGCTAGAGAGGGAGGCAGGCTGGAATGCAGTATGTTTCTGCCTCTTCACCTTGTGCTTTGTGCTTTCTTGCCACAACTTTGTGATTCCACCATTGTGCCATAACTTTGTACTTCTACCATTTTAAAGCTGATTTTTCTTTTTTATTGTTCTATGTGAATGTGCATTTATGCATTGTTTGTTATTTATAAAGTACATTTTCTTATTTTAAAACACGTAACAAAAAAGGGGGGTCCAGGGGGCTAGAATGTATGAATTGCATTTCAATGGGGAATCTGCTTTTGAGATAAAAGCATTTTGGGTTAAGAGCTTGGTCACTGAACAAATTAAACTCTTATGTCAAGGTATCCCTGTATAACTATAAATCCTCTACTGTAAAATAACAAAAACAGTAATGGAAGGAAAGGATAAATACTCCTTCCATCTCAAAATGTTACATCTCTGATCTTACTAGTGGGATTATATGATTTTAAAATATCATTGTGTCTTTTTCACCATGGTTTTGACAAAAGGTCAGGACTGCAGTTTTAACCACCAGAGGGCTCCCATGTTTTTTCTGGTTAATAAAACCTCAAATGTCTAAAGAAAATAGTTAACAGAGCAAGGTTATCTGGAGACCCTTCTGTAAAATTGCATGGAAAATCAGATTGCAGTTTAAAAATATTAAGACACTAGTTGCACAATGTGATTCTTCAATAAAATTTTAGAGTAACCAGTTCTGTCTTAGAAGACTTAGCCTTTTACTCAGAGTCCCCAGATGAGTCCTGGAGGAGCAGAAATCTAATCCCTGCCTTTCTGTGACATACTTTTAATTCACTCTTGAAAAATTAAATCAAGCAACTGCTCCCAAAGGCAAAATCACTATGGGACGTGTGCCTTTTCTCCTTGGGACAGACTAGTTCCTGGGAAGAAATTAACTGAAAAATAAAGATTGTAGCTGAAGTGGTGAGGTTGGCCAATAGTATTCCAGAGAGAAAATATGTCTCTCTTAAATTACTTCACAGAGGCAAGAAATATTGGAATATGACTCTGTCCAGCCTATGCTTCCTAGGTCAATGAATTGATGGTAGGGGGGAAATAAATGGGATGAGAGAAACTGGAACTACAGAGTATTCTTTTTCTCAAAAGCTTTTGGATGAACAATCAGTTCTCCAAGGTGGATCCTATATCCTTGGTAAAAAGAATGAACACTATACATTAAATATGCTTTTTAAAAGATAGAAGAAGTTGCATCCTTTAACAAAACATTTAGCTATTCAGGAACTGCACTTGGGCACTGGAGAGTCAGATTCTACTTTCCACTTAGCCAGAAAACTTGCTAGATGACCTGGATCCACTCATCCTGACCTATCTTCCAGGGTTGATGTGAGGGTAAAGTGAGGAACAAGAAAGTCATGTATGCCATTTTGAGCTCACTGGAAGAAAGGTATTATGTATATGTATCTAACAACTGCAACAACCCTAAAATATAATATCCTAAATAAAATCATAAGATGATAATGGAAAACATTGTAGATAATTTTATTTACCCCATAGGCCTCTGGAATGTTAGAAATCATTCAAAAGTACAAGGAAGGAAAAACGTCAAGCTAATAAGTTTTAATATTTACCATTTATGAGTGTGCACTTCCAAAATTGGGCCAGTTTTTTAGCTAGTGTTTTCTTTCCAACACCCTTAAATAAACAAACAAAACAATTGTTTAATATTATAATACCTTTGTAATGCTGCAAAAGTAATAAAGTACAGTGGAAAGATTATGGCTTATAATATACTGATTTTACTACAATTGGTGATTAGAATTTCCATTCAGACTTTCATGTTACTAGCTTCCACCTCACAAACATACTGGCCCTTGTTTTTGTGTACATGGTATACACTTTCACTCAATTATGCCTACTATACAGCACTAAATAACACTGTACTCAAGACATGTGACCTGCGGCCCAGATTGTAGAGCTATTTTGGCAAAGTTCTCTTCCAACCAAAATCCGACTAAATACATTGAAGCAATATAATTTGGCCTGTCAACATTTATATAAATCTCAACAATTAAGTTGTCACATTCCAGTTAGAGAGCCAATGTTGTGTAGTGATTTGAATGTTGGACTATAATACAGTATAATGAACTGCATTATATGGTCAGTGTAGACCCATATAATGCAGTCTGAACTGCATTATAAAAGTCTGCACTGATTATATAATGCAGTTCTTTCCCTTGTTGGATCGTCACCTAGTCATGGTGAGGAAACTAGTGTTCCAGTGAACAAAGTTGAACAGTTTGGCAGTTTGGCAAAGTCACACACTCCCGGCATGGAAGCAAGGTCATGGGGAAGAAACCAGATGAAGCACGATCCAAAGATCTCAGTGGTGGAGCAGGCAAATGATATCATGATACATGTTAAAATGGCTGTGTCAGTGTCAGAGCTTGTGATGAAGACAAAGATGAAGGGCTTCTTTGCCCAGCACCTGCAGAGAGCTGCAGGAAGAGAGCTGCAGGCTGACACTGAGGAATCTACTCCAGCAGAGGAGAAACAGGAACCTCAGGGAAGTAGGGATGCAGAGTTAGGGCAGGATCAGCAGTTTCAGGAAGAAGACCCGAAGTTAAGCATTCTAGCTAGGCTGCAATTAAGAACTGATTAGATCCAACTGAGGAGAACTAATTGGTTGGGTCAGCAGAGGGCCAATAGGTGAGAGCACTTGGGAAATTGAAATAAATAGCTGGACGCTGGGATCTGGTAGTTGCTGGGAGCAATTTTGTGTTACTGTTCCAGCCTGAATTTCTGTTGGTGAACACTTGATTAGATCTTGACTTAGGTCACTGGACTATGGCTTGAGTTGGTGAGATAGCTTGGCTTTGACTCTCAGAAAGAACTCTGGATTATTTCTATGCTTTGATTGCTGTATTTGACTTTGGACTGCCTTTGACTATGAGATGATAAGTGGCTGTGTTAACAGAGATTCCGCGGACAGCAGGGCCGTAACCAGAAAAAAATTCTGTGTGTGTGTGTGTGAAAATTTGGGGGGGGGGGGGGGGGGGGTTGAAAATTTGAACATTTGGGGGGGGGGTTGAAACCTGCCTCCTAGCTCATGCTGAAGCAAAGAGCACAGCAGGGGGCAGAGCAGCCTTCAATAGCCTGCAGCTCAGCCCCTGTCAACCACCTCCACCAAGTCTGGCCTCCTTAATGAGAGCATTCAACACCCCCACTTGGTTGCTTCGCTACATCAGCTATTGCTGCAAGTAATGACAGTGTGAATAAATTGTCAATATTTGCCTGAGATAGTGCTTGCAGTTCTGGAGGGACTCTTAATTTTTTGCGTCTCATAGACTTAGCATGGGGATTTGGTTAACCAGTTAAAATTCATGAGTAAAACAGGGTTTTTTTTTTAACCTGAAAAATTTCAGGGGGGGGGGGGGCTACAGGCCTGGTGGACAGATCTTTAATAGTCAGGGGATGAAGGTGGTAACAGATAAGAGGCCAAAGATGTGTTGGTTGCTGTGCACCAGTCTCGATGCATAAAACAAATTTGTGCACAGGTGTCTTCCAAGACCAGCTAAAACAAACAAAGTTCCATGATCTTTGATAGACGGGTGATGAAGGTGGTAACGCATAAGAGGCCAGAGGTGTCTTGGTTCCTGTGCACCAGTCGCATAAAACAAATTTGTGCACAGGTGTCTTCCAATACCAGCCAAAACTAACAAAAGTTCAATGGTGATCAGAGAGTGATGAGGAGACGAGGACTGTGAAATTTGGCAGCTGTTAGTTTTGGACTGGCACATGAGTGGTGGATATGTATTCAGTCATTTTAACTCAAGGTCTGAGGCAGTTGAACAGTTTGGCAGTTGTATCCATGACTGAGCAGCCCTATTCAGGATTGATTCTGCTCACCCCATATGGGGAGAGGGCTACAAAAAGTGTCCTAAACATAGCCTGCCTTTTAAATGTATCTCTGACTGGGCTGACTAATCCAAAGAGATTGTCACATTTCAGTTAAAAAAGATAAATGAACTTTGGAATGTGGAACATAACAGTGTTGGATAATACAGACAACAAACATCCTAAATGTAGGACTGCTTTTATTGCAAGGGAGTAGACATGTTTTAACACTGATATAGCTGCATTTCGAAAGACCTGAAGAGCAGGAGAGGAAGGAAGAAAAAGGAGGCTACACCTTCTTTTGGAAGGGACGGCCTGAACAAGAATGACAAATACATGGAGTTGGCTTTGCTATCAAAAACAACCTGGTGAAACATCTGTCTGAAGCACCTGTTGGCAATAACAGACAACTCTCATCCCTCTGAATTAATATTGCCAAAAGAAAGCAGGCAACTGTCATAACTGCCTACACAACAACACTAGATGCTGATGAAGGCATCAAGGATTTTTTTTCCTGTCAGCTAGATACCATGCTGTCTCAGAAGGAGTTGGGAACAGAAACCCTATTCCTCACCAAATGTGTGGAACACAACTTTGTCATCACCAACACATTCTTCCACCAGAAAAACATCATGGAAGCAACCTCGGACAAAGCACTGGCATCTTTTAGACTATATACTTACACGTGCCATAGACTGCCATGATGTACTTCTCACATAAACCATGACAAGCACTGTTGACTGCTGGACACATACCACTGACTAATTCAACCCACAATGGCTATCAAAATTGTTCCAAAATGCAGACTCCAAGGAAGAAAGATAAGGTGTAAAATGAATACCGAACTCCCTCAAGAACCCTCTAATTGAGCCCTTCTCTAAATAACGCTTAACGATAATCAACTCACAGACCACTTTTAAAATTTTGAGGAACATTGGAATAAACTCTATCATTACAGCCTGTGAACAAACCATTGGATATCAAACTAAGAAACAATAAGACTGGTTTGATGAGAATGATAGCGAGATCCAACATATAGATAAGAAAAGGAGAGCCTTCCAAATACAGCAAAGAGACATCAGCTCTGCTGGTAAGAAAAAGATCTAAGCTAGCAAAAAAAGATGAGGTCTAATGAAGGACCAAAGAACTCAAGAACATCTGATGCACAAAAAGGCTCAATAAATCCAAGATCTATGCTAATGCAACAGCTGAGGTCCAAAGAAGAACCAGAGAACTTAAGAACATCTGGTAGACAAAAAAGGCTCAAGAAATCCAAAACTTTACAGGTGTCTACAAAACACAGGAAGTTATTAAAGCCACAAGTTATTTATGGCCCAACATATCATGGCATACAGGGCCGTAGCCAGAAAAAAAATTCGGGAGGGGTTGAAATTTTCGGGGGGGAGGGGGTTTGAAAAATTCGGGAGGAGGGAGTTGAAACCTGCCTCTTAGCTCACGCTGAAGCAAACAGAACAGCAGGGGCAGAGCAGCCTTCAATAGCCTGCAGTTCCGTCCCTGTCAACCACCTCCACCAAGTCTTGTTATGCATAAAAGAGACAATTAACTTAAGAAGAAGGCAAGAAGAAAGGAAAAGGAATTTAGAAAGAGAAATAGAAGAGATTGAAAAAGCATATGTAATAAAGAGAGATATACGAATTTATGCTAGGCTAAGAGCAAAAAAAGAGGAATTGGATAAAATGGAAATAGACGAAGTGCAAGAAAATTAATTTATTTAAGGAGGGAATATTTTGAGTTTAGTGATAGGAATTCAAAGATGTTAGCTAAATCAACACAGAAAAAGAAATTGGAAGGAATGATAAATACGATAAAAGATAAAACAGGTAAATTATGTAGAGCTATGAAAGAAAAATTGAAAGTATTTGAAGAATTTTATAAAGAATTATATCAAATTAAAGCTAGCTCCATAGACGCAATTAGGAAATATGTGGAGGAAAATTGGGAGAGTAAGTTGGAGGAGAAAGATAAAGAATTACTGGAACAACCTATTAAGAAAAAAGAAATAGAGGAAGTTATTAAGAAATTAAAAGTTGGCAAAGCTCCGGGCTTGGATGGTCTAGGGACAGAATATTATAAAAGCTTTAGAGAAGTTTTAACCCCAAAATTATTAGAATTGTACAATGGAATAATGAAGGGAGATAAAATACCCGAATCATGGAGGAAATCATTAATAATATTAATACCTAAACCTGATAAAGACCTAACAGACCCAGGGTCATATAGGCCCATATCATTAATTAATCAGGATGCAAAGATATTGTCCGCGATAATAGCTAATAGAATGAATAAATGTATGTATAAGTACATAAAAGAAGATCAGTGCGGGTTTATAAAAGGAAGACAAATGTCAAATTTGATAGGGAGAGTACTAAATAAAATTCATTGGGCTAAAGAGGGGAAAGAAAAAGCAGGGATATTATCATTAGATATTTTTAAAGCGTTTGATTGTGTGGAATGGGAGACATTAAGGGAA